CTGGTTTGATCTTCTATTTAGACCCCTCAAACTTTCTCCGTTATCAGCAATGAGGCTGTTTTGCTTTCTTGTCGTGGGTGTGTTCACTGGAGTAGCACTTTCAGTTTCCTTCAGGAACTTTCCTTTGTATTCACAGCATGGCTGTTTGGTGCAAGAGGCTTAGCTTTCAGTATCTCAGCTTTCAACATACCTTCCTCACTAAGCCTAATTGTGTCTAGCTTTTGATTTCAAGAGAGAAATGTACCACAATTCCTTTCACTTGAATACTGGAGGTGCTGTTGTAGGGGTATTCATTTCAATATTTTTGTGCCTCAGAGAATAAGGAGGCCTGAGGAGAATGGAGAGGGACAAGGGAAGGGCCAGTCGGTGGAGCAGTCAGAAGACCCATTTATTGGTGAAGGTCACTATCTATGACACTATAGGTGTCATTTGTGATGCCCCAAAACAATTACAGCGGTAGCATGAAAGATCAGTGATCCTAGATCATCATAATAGATAAAATAATCAAAAAATGTGAAATGTTGCACGAATTACCAAAATGTGACGCGGAGACACAGTGAGCACATGCTGTTGGGAATAGACCGATAGACTTGCTCCATGCAGGGTTGCCACAAACCTTCGATTTGTGAAAAATGCATTATCTGTAATGCACAATAAAACAAGGTATGCCTGCAGTCATTTTCCCTTTGTTTATAGTGCATTCTTCTTCCTTCTTGAAACATGAACTCCTCCAGGTCAAGGAGTAGTTTCTTACACCTTCTTGTTGCCCCAGCAAATTAATGTTCACTGATGAGGAAAGGTAATTCTCATTTGGCTGTAAGCACTCAGATTACTCTTTTTTTTGGTCAGTTTTTTTCCCTATGCTAACATTTTCCACTGTTACTCTCTTATTTATCGCAGACATTGCATGTATTCCCATTGAATACTCCTGCAAAACAAAGAGTCTTTAGAATAAATAGGATAATCCACACAGTAGTATTAATAACTACGGCAGTACTAAAACCGCTGATGGTTTCCGTGCAGGCCCAGTGGAAGTACTGTCACTTCAGCAATGGTGCAACCTTCTCACAAACCCTGCTTGGCAGCTCTCATGTGTCACGGGCTTTCATCAACTTTAGGGCAAGAATCATTCCGTTCTAACAGATGGACATGAATTTAACCAGACAATAAACCATGTATGTGCCATCAATATGTTTGCTGAGGGCATGATTCCCAGTACAGAACTTTTAGGAACAGCTGTCTTATCATGAGCTACTGTTTCTTGGTGAGATGATTTGTTAACCTAATTCTGAAAGAGATTACATTCATAAAGTTAATCTTTCAGTGGTTTCCCCACTACCAGCAGCCTAATTATTTTGGGGGACAATTTTTATAAATGAAAGTTACTTACATGAGAGTCTATTTTTAAAGCAAGGTGAGGAAGACTTTATTCAGGACCATCGTGGTAGGTATAGGGACTGCTCCAGCAGGGTCTTGCATTGGGGGGAAAGAGATTGGGCACATTTCCTAATACTTCAGGGGCAAGCGAGAGTCATAGCCCAAGAGCAGGGTCAGTGACAGGGATGGGAAATGGCTAAGGAAACATCCGGAGTAATAGGAGGTTCTAGCTCAGCCGGCCTCACAGAATTCTTGGGGAAGGCAGGCCAGGGTGATCTGACATCCCCTGAGGGATCTATTTACATGAGATTTTTAAAAGCTGATGTGATGTTTTCTTTCCAGATTTGGTGTAATTTGTCTAAACGGGTTTGTTAACCCTTTTTTGCATGGCCAGCAACTTGTCTCTCAGTGCCTTTGGGGGATACAGAACATTAATTGTGAGCATTTTTTTCCTTGATGCTTTTTACATTTAGTACTTCTGTTAAATTACTGAATAAACTATTACTTAAATGGTTCTAGCTATATAGTTCTTTAAAAATACAAGTCTTTTGTCTTTCTGCTTCTCTGTGTCATCTTCAGAGAACATGTTTCATTCTCTCAACAAATGATGCTTTCCCCATGGAACCTGTGCAGATTAAAATATGAAGTGTGTGTTCGTTTTGCATTCTTTAGAGGGTAACTTCTACTGGTGTACGTTTTCATCAGCATGATCTACCAGGCAAAGTATAAATTGCTGTAAAACTGGGAAAGTGTTTGAATGAGTAAAGCAGATGTTCTCTTAGCATGGAGCAGATGTAAAACTCGCAAGTGTCTGTCTAATAAAATATAGCATTTGGTTCTATACAGCTGGTGCCAGATTGCCAATTAATCATGTTTGAATGTATTTTTACTAATTAGATCCCCCTCTGTTCTTTACACATTCTGGGTATACTAAAGAAAGGGATGGAGCACAAAAGCTTTCTACTTTTAGTACTTTGAGCAATGTTTTTTCTTGTTCCCCAGTCTTTTATTATTAGGCTCATATAGGCTGGCCTTTTATCCTTAAGGACCCTCCAGTCTGATTTGGGGATGTAGGTTTGATGTTAGGATATTCCATTGAAGGCAACAGTTAGTACTTTGAACACTTTAAGGCAGCTGAAGAAAAGAAAAGGAATGTAATTAAACTTAATGTTGTTTTTTTCTTATTCGCATGAACAAAAGCTAGGATTTGCTCACTTAACATCAGTTCATAACCTCTATGGTTATTTGAGCAGGGTTTGAACATTATAGAAATGAGCAATACCAGTTTGGTTTTATGTTGTCGAAAGCAATAGAGCAGTTTTTCCCAAAAATTAAAGAACTGATAAGAAGAGTTGCCTTTACTGCTATGAAAGATACAACACAAATCAGTAGCAACTGTGACAACGAAAAAAACTGTATCATTCTGTACTGTCCTTTTTATAAAGCAAGTATGCTAATGAAATTAAATTTTAGAACCTGGTGGGCTTTTTTCTTTTTATTTTTTTTGAGACAGGGTCTTGCTCTGTTGCCAGGGCTAGAGTACAGTGGCATCATCATAGCTCACTGCAGCCTCCAACTCCTGGGCTGGAGCAATCCTCTTGCCTCAGCCTTCTAAGTAGCTGGGACTACAGGCACATGCAACCATGCCCAGCTAATACTTTTATTTCTTGTAGAGACAGAGTCTCGCTATTGCCCAGGCTGGTCTTAAACTCCTGGGCTCAAGCAGTCCTCCTGCCTCGGCCTCCCAAAGTGCTAGGATTACAGGCATGAGCCACCACACTCAGCAGTGGTCCTTTTGTTCATGCCTGATTTCCCCAGGATAAATTTGTTTTCTGTGAAAGGACATTCAGTCTATAAAAAGGTTTGCTACCCTACCTCCCATTTTTCTAAAAAGAGTTAACAATGATATTAATAAAGCATAATAATTTTAGAGTTTGGTTTTTGGAGTTGGTGATTGGATATTTACACTCTTAAATAATTAAGAGAATTTTTTTCAATGTTTTATTCATGAATTGATTTATTATACTTTTCTAATGAATAGGAGAAGTATTTAAAGAAATATTTAGAGATAAAAAGAAAAATTTTTAATAAATATTTAAAGGGTAGGAGAAATATATTAAATAATTTCTAGGTCTGAAGATAAATAGCATGAGTGGTTCTTTTAATGAAATGTTTACTACCATTTGAAAATTAGTTGGAGGTAGGGAAAATAAAGATATGCAGAAAGAAGTTCATCATCTAGAAAGTCAAATGTTCCTTGTTTATTGTCTTCCCCTAATAAAGTGGGGTTTGTGAAACATGGATCTACTGTAATGTGAAAAAAACATAAATGGAAATACATTTTAGATAATGTGTTGCAGATTCTAGAATCTGACTTTTTGAGTATTGGTGTAAAAGAATTTATAACATAGATTATAATTTTTTGTTCATTTATATAATACTTTTACATGCACAGTTGAATATCCCTTATCTAAAATGCTTGGGACCAGAAGTGCTTTGGATTTCAGGTTTTGGAATATTAGCATGTACGTAATGAGATGGGACCCAAGACTAAACATGAAATTCCTTTATATTTCATATATACCTTATACATATAGCCTGAAAGCAATTGTATGTAATATTTTAATAAATTTTGTTAGTGAAACAAAATTGTACATCGAACAGTTAGAAAACAAAGATGCCACTTTGTTGATAATCTTTGGTTGTTTGGTGTCACCATCATTCCTGACTCTGAATTTCTATGTTGCCTTTATAAGCAAGCATTTTCTCATATTTATTCACATACAAATACTTAACAGTAAAAAGTATGACAGTGAAAAACTAATGTGTTCAGAGTAACTTGTGGCATCATGTTGGCTCTCAACAAGTTTTGAATTTTGGTGTATTTCAAATTTCAGATTTTTAGATTAGGGATATTCAATCTTTATATAAAATATACAGTCTAAGAGTATTCACAAGATTATTCCAGAAAGTCTCCCCCATACTTATTGCCATTGCCTCCATAATTTTATGTTAATGATTTAAATTTTTAAAAAGTATTTTGCAACCAAATTGACTAATAGCTATTACTTTATATCTTCAGTTCTTCTAAGGTTAAATATTGCTTATCTAAAAGCAATTTAAATATTTCATGTATCCATTTACTACATGAACATCTTTCCACCAAGGTTACACTTGTCAAAGTAATGTTCATATGTAAAAAGTCTGCCTCATTTGACTAAGAATACCTTGTATTCATAGAACAAAAAGGAAATTAATAATCTTGTTAGCTTTTAGCAGGTGTCTAATGCAATTATATTTCTTTTCATTTGGGAGATTTTTTTTTTAATATCATTCCTGTTTTCCTATTTTGTGTCTCACTAATATTATGTGGGTATGGTGATATATTTTCAATTTTTTAAAGTTTAAACATTCACAAAAGTAGAATAGTATGACAGATCCTTTTTATCTGTCACTGAGCTTCAACACTAATCAGTTTTCTGTTCTTGTTTGCCACCATTCGAGACTATTTTTTTTAGAGATTTTTCTCTTTTAAGTTGTAGTTTCTGAATCCTTTCTGCAGTGAAAATACATATTTAAACAAAACTAGGTCATGTAAACCCAGAGATCGAACTTTTTTTCAGGAAGTGGAGCGAGAAATCTCATTCAGAACAGAATGTGGACTATATTACTCCTACTACAAGCAAATGCTGCAGGCTCCAACCCTAATGCAAGGTAATTATAACTAATAGTCTGATTTGGGGTCTACTCTATTCTTTTTAATATTTTAGTCAAAAATACTTTGCACAGAAGCATTGTAAATGCTCTGCAGAACTTGTGTAGTTTTCTCCTTGTTAACCAACGTCTGATCATTATATGGAAATGTTTTTTTGCTCTAAAGGAGTTATATAACTGTCTTCTCCTTGTCTTCCAATTCCACTCCATCCCAAAAGCAATTTCTTTGTGATTTCTTGGTTTTGTTGCTGATTTTTCTCATGATCATTTTGGAAGCAGTCTTTGCAGGTGAAAGGAGCATTGTCTGAGAACTGGAGGCATTTGGATAATACCAATGAAAGTTATAGTTATCCGTCTTGTCCCTATTCCTTCCTTTATTTTGCAATTGCCGTTCTCCTACATTTTCACTTTTCCTTAAGTGGTTTGGAGCCCACACTGTTTACCCTTACTCCATCTAATGAAACCCTCCTAGAAGGATCTCTTCTACATAATACATCCCTGATGCACTTAACATGGGGATACATGGCAGAGAATCACCCTTTTCTGGGCTTTACTTGGATTCAGCTATGATATTTTGGTGAGAATTCTTCTCAGGTGATGTTTTGTACATCCGATTTTATAGCAACGGGAGACATGAAATTTTGGTTATCTTGTTTTTGTGTCATAAAAATTAATCAGTGTTTGATAGCCAGATTCATCCACAATAAGGCCAGTTATGCACCAGCCTTTCATTAGGGCTTAGCAGCCCTTGATTTTGCCTGTGTCTGTTACTTCCATAGGGCTCTGTCAGTTGGGGAACTCTGAGGTGCAGTCTGTACAGGAAAGGCAGGCTAAGTATTGATGTGTTTCCCCCGTAGTCGATCCTCGTTATTCATAGATTCCATGTTTGCCAAATCACCTGTTTGCTAAAATTTATTTATAACACCACAATCGGTACTCATAGCCCTTTCACAGTTATTTATGGATATGTCCGGAGCAGTAAAAAAAACTTTAGTCACTGACGTGCATGTTCCCATTAGAACCAGGGAGGTAGCACTGTGCCTTCTTGTTTGACATAGCAGAGCGTCCTTTTCTCAGTCTATGGCATGCTGTACTTTTTACTTTTTTTTTTTTTTGCTGTTTATTGGTGATTTTGCAGTTTACAGTGTCCCTCCAGCATAGTGCTAAAATGCTGTCTGCTGTTCCTGAGCTCAGGAAGGCTGTGATGTGCCTTACAGAGAAAACACATTGTTTGATAACCTTCATTTAGGCATGAGTTACAGCGCTGTTGGCTGTGAGTTAATGTTAATGGATTAACACTATAGATATAAGAAAGTGTCTTAAATAGAAACACACATAAAGCAAGGTCACGTGTTGATCAGTTGATGCAAACAGACTCGTAGGAGCCCAGCCTTTGTTTCCCACTCACTGGATCGGTATTTACCAGTTCAGTTTTTACTGCAGCTTATAGAACATAACTGCTGGGCATAATGAGAATTGGCTGCATCTACTAGCTCTCAAAATTACGAGTTGCTTCAGTAGCACCCTCTGAACAGTGGTCCTCACTAGGGGGCATTTGTGTGCCTTGGGCACATCTGGAACGTTTAGAGACGTTTCTGGTGGGTACAAGGGGGGGCTGGGAGCTGCTGGAATCCAGTGGGCAGAGTCCTGGGATGCTGCCGAACACCCCGCAGCGCACGGGCAGCCCCCACAGCACAGGGTCGTGTGACCCAAATCTTAGCAGTGCCGGGGTGGAGAAACTGCTTTAAAGGCACATGATGAGTGTTTTCTTTCTCAGTATCACCACAGACTCAGCAGTTGATTTATGTTAATTTTTGTCATTTATTAAGATTATTCTTTTTTCTTTCTTTCTTTTTTGTTTTTGAGACAGGGTCTCACTTGGTTGCTCAGGCTAGAGTGAGTGCCGTGGCGTCAGCCTAGCTCACAGCAACCTCAGACTCCTGGGCTCAAGCAATCCTCTTGCCTCAGCCTCTCGAGTAGCTGGGACTACAGGCATGCGCCACCATGCCCGGCTAATTTTTTGTGTATATATATATATTTTTTTAGTTGGTCAATTCGTTTCTTTCTATTTTTAGTAGAGACGGGGTCTCATTCAGGCTGGTTTCGAACTCCTGACCTTGAGCAATCCACCCGCCTCGACCTCCCAGAGTGCTAGGCTTACAGGTGTGAGCCACCACGCCTTGCCTATTAAGATTATTCTTGGCCGGGCGCTGTGGCTCACGCCTGTAATCCTAGCTCTTGGGAGGCCGAGGCCGGCCTGAGCAAGAGCGAGACCCCGTCTCTACTATAAATAGAAAGAAATTAATTGGCCAACTGATATATATATAAAAAATTAGCCGGGCATGGTGGCGCATGCCTGTAGTCCCAGCTACCCGGGAGGCTGAGGCAGAAGGATCACTCGAGCCCAGGAGATTGAGGTTGCTGTGAGCTAGGCTGACGCCACGGCACTCACTCTAGCCTGGGCAACAAAGCGAGACTCTGTCTCAAAAAAAAAAAAAATAAAAAAAATTCTTAAAAAAAAAAAAAAGATTATTCTTAGGCCGGGCGCTGTGGCTCACGCTTGTAATCCTAGCACTCTGGGAGGCCGAGGCGGGCGGATTGCTCAAGGTCAGGAGTTCAAAACCAGCCTGAGCGAGACCCCGTCTCTACTATAAAAATAGAAAGAAATTAATTGGCCAACTAATATATATATATAAAAAATTAGCCGGGCATGGTGGCTCATGCCTGTAGTCCCAGCAACTCGGGAGGCTGAGGCAGTAGGATTGCTTAAGCCCAGGAGTTTGAGGTTGCTGTGAGCTAGGCTGACGCCACGGCACTCACTCTAGCCTAGGCAAGAAAGCGAGACTCTGTCTCAAAAAAAAAAAAAAAAAAAAAAGATTATTCTTTTAGAACATTTCAAACATATAAAAACAATAGAATCCTTTAATGGGTTTCTATGTGTCTACCAACCAGCTAAAAAGTTACCAACTCATGACCAATCTTGCTTCCTCTGTATCCCTGCCCTCAACCTGGATTATTTTGGAGTAAATCCAAGACATCATATTGCTTCAGCTATAAATATATCAGTGTGTTTCAGCAGTCAGTGTTCTTATTTCCAGTTGTCTTACACATTTTTCAGTTTTTGAGATATCCAAATAAAGCCTATACTTTACTGTCTATGTATTTTTTAATTGTTTCTTTAAATCTGTCATTATCTTTCTATCTTTTTTCTTGTAATTTTTTGTTGAAAACACTGATTCACTGTATAAAGAAGTTTTCGACCTTCCAAATTTTACTGGAACCTCATGGTGTCATATAATGTTTCTCAGTTCCCTGAGTTTCCTCCTGTTAATTGGTAGTTAGATCTAGAGTCTTGCTCAGATTCAGGTTCTGCTTTTTGGTAAAACTACTTCCTAGATGGTGGTGTATACTTTTATGTCAGATGGCACATAATGTCTAGGCTGTCTCTCCTGGGCTCAGACTGATCCATCAATTATTAAGTTACTGATTAGCCTTTCACCTAATGGTTTAGATCCACTGACAACCATTACCCAAATTTGTTAATTTCATAAGGACTTAAAAATGGTGATACTCTAATTCTATACTTAAAAATGGTGATACTCTAATTCTATCATCCATTCTGTCATTATTAGATAGACTTTATCTCTAAAGAAAAACATTTTCTCATCGCCTATTTGATAACACAGTTTAGTCCATAAAGGAAAGGCAGGAAAAATATTTGGCCTTTCCCTTTATTGTTTTTAGAATGAGTTGCCTTTCTACCATCTTAAGATTTTGGTTTTAAGTATCACTATAAACTTGTGGATTTTTAACATAATTGATGTGTTTTGATCCTTTGTATTCTTCTTCTTATATTCAAGTTGCCCGATGTTTGTCCAGTGGAATCCTTTCAGATTAGGTTGACTGCTGCCCTTTTGATGTGACTCCAGGGATCTTTGAAAACTACCTTGCATTTGGGCATGAGTAGATATTTCAGTCCCATTTTGTATATTTCTTACCCCTGATCTGGAATCAGCCATTTGTCAAAGGAGCTCTAGTTCTTTTTGGTACCTATTTAGAGACCACAGTTTGGGTATGAGGGACATTAATTGCTACTAGATTGGTCATTGTTTCTAGGCTTTATTTTAGTGAGCAGAGCTAGGAAACGTGAATATTTTTTCCTAAGAGAAAATATGAACATAGCTATTTTCAGTTCAAAGTTAGGATAACTGGGTTTTTACTTTTTGATTTTATATTTGTTTCTCTTTTCTCCTTAAGTTGAAAACTTGGGTTCCATATGATATTAAAGTTATCACTTGTTTTATCCTGCTATGTGTGATACTTTCACAGTAACAATAACAACATTGCTACTAATGATACGATTACCTGAAAACAGTTCACACTGTCTTTGCAGTTCTTTTTCTCATTAGGATATGACCCATCTAATCACATTCCTGTTTTCAAGTCACTGGAAAGAAAGAGTTCCCTCTTTTGTGACCAAGCCACCAACTCAATAAGTTTCTTTGTTATATGTTGCTTTTGGTTTTCAGGGATTGTGTTGTAAGATTTTTTATTTATCTTTTTTATACTTGTTAAAGTTTACACAGTTCTAAGTCAAACTATGTAACAGGGAGCATTCAGAGAAGTCCACTTCCATCCCTGTTCCTTCCACCCTGTTTCCTTCCTTACTGTTTAGGTAACCATTCTTATAGATAACCATTTTTATTAGTTTTTGTTTCATTCTTCCACTTTTAATATTTTTAATCATATTTCCCCACTGTTATAGAAAAAAATCTGCTTACTGTATAGCATGTACACTGTTCTCTAGTTTGTTTTTTTCACTTAATAAAAATCTTGGGGATCGCTCTATAATAGAAAATAAAGATATTGATCCTTTTTGCTACTGCATAGTGCTTCTTTGTATGGACCACTGTGGTCTCTTAAAGCCTCTGCTCAGATGTGGTTTATGGCATGTCCACTCGCATGCCATCCATTAGAGCAAGGCAGATGGCCAAACCCAAACTGGGAGTAAGGAAGGCTGCTCTCCCAGAAGGGTACTGTGTGGGGGAGCACACCCTCCCGGAGGGGATACTACAGGTCGCGTGGCAGGAGAACAAGGCGGGGAGATATAAAATCCCCTTGCCCAAATTCCTATAGAAGAAACATATGGATTTTTTTTCATTGCCATCACAAAAGTTCTAATTTACGTATTTTTGTGTAAACATTTAAATAATGTCCATCTAGTATGTGGTGAGCTCTTTGAGGGCAGGACTGTGTTTTTTTGCTAACTATTATATCCCTAGCGCCTTCCACACTCCCTGGCACATACTAAAAAGTCTATGAATAGTTTTGAATGAATGAATAATTATAAGTGTAATTGTTTCCTTCCTGATCTTTCAAATATCAATCTTAGGTTTTCACGGCTTGATATATGATAATAAAACTGAATCTATGAGGACAATTAACCTCCTTCAACGAATGAATATTTACCAAGAGGTTTTTCTCAGTGTTTTATATAGAGTTCTACCCATACAGGTATGTTGTGTTCTGTGACAACAAATTGTTATTATCAGATGAAAGTCAAAATCTGCCATTTTGAAAGTTGAAAGTTTTTACATATGTTCTTCTGGTCTTCAACTGGTTTGGCAAAAAATCAGCAATACCCTAATTTTCTCCATGTATATTACAAACTTTGCTTTCTGTTAATATATAAATAGATAACTGCTTTTTATTTACATTTTATAAGATACAAGATTTCTGTATATACATGGCCTATATTGTAATAATATATGTGTGTAGTCTTAGAAGCTGATAAATATTTTCATTTGGAAATGTATAATCACTCCTGATTTATCTTTCCTATTAAAAAATTATAAAATTACCAAATCAGTGAAAATTGGACAAAGTTAGGTGGTAAACTGGTCTAGAGTAAAGAATGAAGCTAGACTCTCATGGACTTCCCTCTCTTCTTGGTGGTGGGAGGAAAGGCTGCTATCACACTCCCATCTGAGAAGGGGTGATGTGGCTTCCTGCTGGGAAGTAACAGCAGGCTCCTGAACATTACATTTTACTATCATATTTTTTAAATGACAGAAAAAGGGTTAGGGCTTCTCTGACTAACATTTTTTATTGTTCCCTTTACAGAAATATTTAGAGCCAGTTTATTTTTATATTTACACCTTATTTGGACTGCAGGCGATCTATGTCACAGCTCTTTACATAACCAGCTGGCTCCTTAGTGGCACGTGGCTGTCGGGACTATTAGCAGCCTTGTGGTATGTCACAAATAGGTGAGTTGGAATCAGTGTGTCTCTCTTCTTTCCAAAATGAGAGTACAGATGCAGTTACTTCGTTTGTAGTTCAGAGAAATTTCTTCTGCCATGTGTGTTTGGGTAGGAGCATTTTCTCTTTGGTTTACATAGTGGTTTATAAATTTTTCTTACTTGGTAAAGTAGAAAGTGCTACTTACATATATTTCCAGCTGAGGAACAGAACACTGAATTGCAAGTCAAGAGTAACACCCATAGTAATCCTAATTCTATTACTTGTTTGCTGTGTGATCAGTATTTCTCCAACCATACAGCTCACCTCTTGAAGGGTTTTCATGATATTTTCACTATCCATCTCAATAGGGTTGTGTGCAGGTCTCCATTAGCAAAGCTGTACAAATGCAAGGAAATTCTTACATTGATTGATATCTATTATTATTTGATAAACACTGGAGCCTTATGAAATAGCATTTTAAAAAAACATATTCAAGATATATTGAATTATTGCCTGACCTACAGTAGCAACACCAATAGTAACTAGGAGTGTTAAAACTTGAACACAAGTTCTAATATAGGGGGTTTTTTTGGTAATCCTGAGCAAATTACTTAACTATATGCCAAGTACTTTACAAAATGCTTTGTATGTATACTTTTAGCAACCTTATAGAGTAGGTACTATCATTATCCCCATTTTAGAGATGAGTAAACTGAGGCTTAAAAGGTTAGTTTTACACACAAACACGTAGGTGTGTGTTTTGTGTGTGTGTCATTCATTGAATGGCTAGTATGTGCGGGGGTGGTCTTGATGCTGAGCGTACAAAGATGAAAAATTGTACTTATACTTGCTCTCTTGAGGTTCACATTCTAGAGAGGCAGGAAGCCTTTAAAACTTATTGCCAAAGACAAACTTAAGACTAAAGTATAAAGCACTAAAGAAATACACAGAAGGAGAATGCATAGCATTGCCTGTTAACATTAATGAAGTCAGAAATAAAAGTAAAAGGTGCTTTGGTGTGATACATTCATGGGTTTAGGAGTCATGCTGACATGGCCTTGAACACCACGTCTACCACTTACCAAAGCAGAGCCGTGGGCAGATCACTTACATTTTCTCAGTTGGCATGGGGATGATGATGATGATAAGGACAATTATTGGGAACCAGTGACCAAAATCTAAGTATACTTATCCTTAATATGATACATCTTTCACTTTAAGAAATCTTTGAGGAAATTATTGTAAAAATTACCATTTCGGCCATTCCTGTTTTCTTTTGTGCAGAATAGATACCACAAGAGTTGAGTTTACCATCCCACTGAGGGAGAACTGGGCACTGCCATTCTTTGCAATTCAGATAGCAGCAATTACATATTTCTTGAGACCAAACTTACAGCCTCTTTCTGAAGTAAGTCTTTATAAAAGTTTGTATGTGTCTTAATTCCCCAATTTTATATAAGAAGCTTCAAAAAACACAATGTGCATAGTGTCCCAAAGCATGTGAATAGTTCTTGTTCTATGACCAGTTTTTTTTAACACAAGTTAAATTAAATTCTTTATCTGAGCTTTTTCCACTTTCCAAAGAAAATGTTTTCGTTTTTGATGTTAAAAATGTCCTCTACATAATCTACCCTTAAATAGTTGGAGCAAACCCACACACAGTTTCTGAGAAACTGTCAGAATTTTTAAGCCATTGCTCTTGAGATGTGATTTGGTGCATTATTGCCTCCATAATAGTGTGGAATACACATAGCGTATGTGAATATTTATATGCAGAGTGTCACTTTATGATATTTAGAGCTTAAATAACAAATGCAAGGGTTTTCAGAGCAACAGTGTATGGCTTTTCTATCTGGTTTATAGAGATATTGGCTGCTCTTGATAAAACTTGTCTGCAAGGTTTTTTATTACTAGAGACATGTAAATTATACAAAGGTTTTCTTTTTACAGAGGCTGACACTTCTTGCCATTTTCATATCAACTTTTCTCTTTAGCCTGACATGGCAATTTAATCAATTTATGATGCTGATGCAGGCATTAGTGCTGTTCATACTGGACTCCTTGGACATGCTGCCAGCAGCGAAGGTAAGCTTTATTTTCTCATTTGAGATTTTCACTGTTTAGTGTTTTGTATCATAGAATGAGATGAAAATATGCAAGTACTTCATGATAAAATTGAAGCTCCTTCTTAGAGCTAAGTATGCTGAGGTCAATTGATACTGAGTAATTTACACAGCCTTGTTTGACCATCTTAACTTTTATTCTGCTTGTTTCAAGTTAAAAATGGATTTATTTGCCACATAAATGTCTAGGTCAATTGTTATTTATAGAGATGACTTAAAATTTAAAATATAAGGTAGCTCTTTTAAAATTTCTTACTACATAATGCCTTATGTACAAAGAACTCAATGGGTATGTAACAACTTTTCTGTAGTACTTCATAAAATTTTCATAGTAACATTTAACCAATATAGGATGTGAATTCCTGTTGACTGGCCAAAAGAAATAAGGAAACCCATACCTGTCTCTCAGTGTCTGCTGCTGTCATTTAATCATATGTGGTTTTTTTCACGTGCACCAATGTATACTTTTTTTTTTTTTTTTTTTTTTTTTTTTGAGACAGAGTCTCACTTTGTTGCCCAGGCTAGAGTGAGTGCCGTGGCATCAGCCTAGCTCACAGCAACCTCAGACTCCTGGGCTCAAGCGATCCTCCTGCCTCAGCCTCCCGAGTAGCTGGGACTACAAGCATGTGCCACCATGCCCGGCTGATTTTTTCTATATATATTAGTTGGCCAATTAATTTCTTTCTATTTATAGTAGAGACGGGGTCTTACTCTTGCTCAGGCTGGTTTTGAACTCCTGACCTTGAGCAATCTGCCCGCCTTGGCCTCCCAGAGTGCTAGGATTACAGGTGTGAGCCACCACGTCCGGCCAATGTATACATTTTTAATATGTACATTGTGTGCATTTTAAAAATTGCTCATAGTTACCTTGTCAGTGAAGGCTGTAAGAGGAGCAGTAATGAGGCACCTCTTCCCTTCCCAGCTAGGGTGGTGTCAGCAGAGGCCTGCAGGGAGCCTGAACTTTCACCTTCACTCAGTAAGGAAGAATATCATCCCCCTGCCCCCTAAATGTCAGAGGGACCGCTAGACTTTTATCTCTATCTGGAAATAATGAGACAGCATTTTTCTTTCCCTACCAGCATAGAACTGGCCTGGTGCTATGGTTTGAATGTTTGTGTCTCCTCAGAATTGATATGTTGAAATCCCAACCCCAAGGTGATTGTATTAGGAAGTGCGGGGTCTTTTCGGAGGTAATTAGGGCCATTGTAAAATAGGCACGAGGGAGCTTTTTCACCCCTTTCACCATGTGGGGGCACAGTGAGAAGGTGCCATCAGTGACAAGCTAGCAGGCCCTCTCCAGACACTGTGTCTGCCAGCTCCTTGATCTTGGACTTCCCAGCCTCCAGAACTATGAGAAATAAATTTTTGTTCATAAGCTACCCAGGTGATGGTATTTTGTTATAGCAGCCTCAACAGACTAAGACGTGTGGTGTGAGAGGAGGCCTGCTGACACAGAAGACTCAAGTAAGAGCCAAAGTCCTGTGGTGTGATGGGATACAACTGAAAATCAGTTGAAATCATTCTCCTTATGTGGAGAATCAGGAAAATATCTCTTGAGTGAAAAGAAACAATCAACAGGTGCCAACACCGAGACACACAGAAATTGGAATTATCCAACAAGGAATTTAAAGCAGCCATCACAGAAAAGCTTCGTTGAGCAATTACAGACACACTTGAGACAAATAAAAACATAAGTTGTACGAAACAAATAGAATAAATATATAAAGAAGCAAATGGAAATTTTGGATTTGAAAAATTTCAGTAACCAAAATTAAAAACTTGGGAGATAGGCCCAACAGCAGAATGAGATGGTCAGAGGAAAGTATCAGTGACTTTGAACATAGTCTAAAATTCATGTAATCAGAATCCCAGAAGGAGAGGAAAAGTAGTATGAGGATGAAAAAAAAATATTCAAAGAGACACTTTTTGAAGAAACGACTGAAATTTTCTTAAATTTGGCAAAAGATAGAAACCTGCAGAATCAAGAAGCTGAGCTAATGTCAAATAGGATAAACCAAACAGAGCCTCACCAGGTGGATTTTCTGTAGAAATTGAAAAGCTGATTCTAAAATTCATATGGAAACTCAAGGGACCCAGAACAGCTAAAACAATTTTGAAAAAGAAGCGTAAACTTGGAAGACTCACACTTTCTGCTTTCAAAATGAACTGCAAAACTGTAGTAATCAACACAATGTGATACTGGCAGAAGGATAGACATTAGGTCATTAAATGTGAAATGTCTGATTTCAAATCGGTGTGTCTTTGTTATATCTCAATCAAGAAGCAGTACAATTAAAGTATGTGCCTCAACTATCGACACAGTTTTCCCTTCGTAACAGTAGCTTGTTTATGCCAGCAGCAAAGAAGCCTGGAGAGCGAGTGGCAATGAAATTGTGGAAGGTATTTTCCACAGCATGTTGAGAATTAAATATTTTTCCCTGCAAGAAATGGTCCAATGCCTGGAGGAAGTGGCGATCAGTTGGTGCAAGGTCTGGTGAATATGGTGGATGACAGAGTTTCCAAGTGCAGCGTCCGTAGTTTGAGCAGCATTGTATAAGTTGTGGTCGAACTTTGTCTTGGAATATGATTGGCCTGTCTCTATTACCAATGTAGGCTGCTTAATAACAAATATCTTCATTTATTTCATCCAGTTGGTTGTGGTAGACATCCACAGTAATCAGTTGACCAGGTTTCATTAATCTATAGTGGATAATAACAGCACTGGACCACCAAACAAACACCATTAGCTTTTTTGGCTGAATATTCGGTTTTGGACTATGTTTTGGCACTTCATCTTTATCCAACCATTGTGGTGAATGCTTGCGATTGTCAAAAAAGAATCCATTTTTCATCACACATAACAATATGGTATAGAACTGGTTCACCTTTATGTCGCGACAGCAAAGAAAGGCAATCTTCAAGACAATTTCTCTGCTGATGCTTGTTTAATTCATGCAGAACCCATCTATCCAGCTTTTTCTTTTCTTTTTTTTTTTTTTTTTTTAGGGAACTACAAAACAGTGGAATATCCAGCTTTTTTACCTTGCTGATTTTTTTCATAAGGTCCAGTATTGTTGGAATAGTAATCTTGCTGCTGATTCATGCATGGGTTGAGGTGGATTCACTTCCACTATAGCTTTCAGCTCATCATTATCTACCTTGGCCTCAGGTGGTCACCCAAGTGGCTCATTTTCAAGATTAAAATCACCAGAACAGAATTTCTCAAACCATCAATATACTGTGCGTTCATTAGCCACATCCTTCTCAAACACTTTGGTGATATTTTGCGCTATCTGTGCAGCATCAGTTCCACAGTGAAACTCATATTCTGAAACAACACGAGTTTTTTTTACTTATCCATGGTTTCACAAAAATTGCTCTAAAAAAAAATTTGAAAGATAATCCCAAGCCCCAAACATGTTTGAAAGACTGAGGGTGTACCTTCAGAATAAACATTAAACAAGAAGTGTTCAAGTGAAAAGTCAGAGATATCAACCATCAAAGTTAGTACTTAAGGAAATCAGATATTTCTTTCTTAATAACCTAATAAATCCATAGAATAGAATTGACAGACCAGAATAAACCTTCCCAGGAAATAAACAGTCAGTTGATTTTTGACAGGGATGTTAAGATAGTTAAATGGAGAAAGAATAGTCTTTTCAACAAATGATGGATATATGAACTATCCAGAATATACAAATCTATAGAAACAGTACATTAGGGGTTGCCCAGGGGCAGGGGGATAATGGAGAGTGATATGTAATGGGGATGGGGTTTCTTTTGAAGTGATGAGAATATCTTAAAATTAGACTGTGGTGATAGTTGCACAACTTTGTGAATATACCAACAATCATGAATTGTACACTAGGGGAAAATTTGATAGAATATGAATTATATCTTAATAAAGCTGTTAAAAGGAAAAACTTGTGCTTCTCAAACTAGTAATTCTGCTTTTAAGAATCTTTCCTAAGAAAATATATTTATTCCTTCCTTCCTTCCTTTAATATGTGTTAAGTGACACTGTTCTAGTGGGGTTCTTTTAGGTGCTGAGAATACAACAGTGAACAAAATAAGGATTAGTAACTAATGAGATATAATGATCTGAGGTTTTTAAAGATGGGATGTTCATTATAATGTTAACCTAATAATAATAAAAATCTGGGAACACCTAACTGATCCAGTGGTATAAAAATTATGGCATATGGTAGGTAGGATGTTATGAAACCATTTAAAATTTATGTTTTCACAGAATAGTCATTGATGTGAGAAAATTATACTATGTAATAGGAAGTATGAAATGCTATATTTGAAATATTGTACACTGCTATGAAATCAGTATTATTTCTATAGTTAATGGTATTGGGTTTGACTCCAGAGCCTGCCTTTCTATCAGCTGCTATTTCTTTTTTACATTTTTCTGAATTTTTAAAATCAGTAAGATACATTATAACCCAAACTGTCCGTATCCATTTCCCTGAGTTTATGACGCCAGGCAAAAGCACTGAACTGTTGCAGGCCTCACTTTTCAATGCTTGATGTAGGTTTGTCTCCCTTGAGGTTAAGAGAACAAAACCATGGGGAAAGTCTGATTTGCTGCTGAATAAAACTAGTGTTTTTTTATATGCCATATGAATATGGAGTTGTCTAATTTGAAAGAGAATAAGAAAACTAACAGAAAAAGTATCAAGTATCTTTATCAGGGGCTGTCTTTTGTTTTTCTTTGTGGCGTGTTTTTTGTTTTTAAGTCGGTTGCATTTGGGTTCCTTCAGTGTCAGCCTGTCAACAGTTTTTATTGCATCAAAGCTGTCCTTAATGAGTGCTTACTATGTGCCAGGCATTTCCGTACGTTACACGTCCGAGTCTTCCGGCAGCTCCTGCCGCAACTCTGCGAGGAAGGCAGAACTGTCTGTCTTTACAGATGAGCCATTTCCGGCACATTAAAGTCACACAGCTGGTTTATCCCAGAATCAGGACTGTACAGTGTAGGCGCTGCTGACGCCAGGGCTCCGACCACTGAGCTGCGCTGCCTGCTGTGAAGCTGTGAGTGCCTCGGAGCAGGAGGAGCCTTCACTCCAGTCGGGGGACTAGGCACACACACAAGCAGACAAAATGAAGCAATATACAGTCCTGACGTGGATAGTATGGAAAACTAGGAAATAATGTAATGCACAGAGTGCTTAGTGTCGGCTGTAAACAGTAACTGTGAGAGAATTTAAAACCGGAGATCACAAATGGCACTTGCCAACTCCCAGAATACATTTGTACCATTGTTTGCTTCTGCTCCTTCTTTTGCTCTTTAATTAATATTACAAAATTGTAAGTGTCTGTCCTTAAAAGGTAAATAAATGGTATGTATATGCTTTAGTTTCCTTTTTTAGATGGTGTTTCTTGAAGCTAAGTGTGTTTTCTGCATTATTTGTAACCTGGGATGTACCCACCTGATGACCAACATGTCAGCATGCGGTGTCTCTTGATAAGATCTGTTTAACCATCTCCCCTTTGGCTGTTGCAGGCAACGTGGCTGTATGGCATACAGATAACAAGTTTACTTCTGGTCTGCATTCTTCAGTTTTTTAATTCCATGATTCTTGGATCCTTGCTTATCAGTTTTAACCTTTCAGTATTAATTGCAAGAAAACTTCAGGTAGGACTCTTTTGTTCTTTATGAAAGTAAACCTTTTTTTTTTTTTTCATTGTGCGGTTTGTTGGACCTTATTTTCATACAGCATGCAAAAGAAAATTTATAACCCGATTCCCACTAAAAGCGTGAGTGGCATTGTTTGTTTTTTTAACTGCATGTTGTAGTATTTTTGAGCCCCCTGAGATCATGTGCCAGCCCTTTGACAATTATTTCTTAAAGAATTGGCATCTTAATTCATTTCAGGGATTAGCCATAGACACTTAGTTGAATGTCATTGATTTAAAGTTGAAACGAAAGAGAAAAGTTTTTCGCTTTTGTGTGCATGTGAGCTCAAGAGTGAGGAGATTCCGTTGCTCACGGGAGTGTTCATCACAGTCTGTCAGGTTGGCACACAGACACCTGATTGTTTTTTTTTTTTAAGAGAGATATTTTTTTTTTAATTATTTTTTTTATTTTGGCATATTATGGGGGTACAAATTTTAAGGTTTCAATAAATGCCCATTTCCCCTGATTGTTGTTTGATTTAGTAACACTACTCTTTTCCTGGTCCCTCCATATATTATGTTGCTGATTTTTCAGTGAATTAAAATTAACTCTATTTTGAGAATTTTGAGAATGTAAATACCTTTAGAAATAATGGAACCTTTCCCATAGTGTAAAATCATGCTTGAAAACATCAACCTGATCTTTTGGCTTTGTTATGTAATTAAATTTCTTAAATTTACATGGGGTTTAAAAGTCATTTGGTTTTGCGTAAAATTGTAACAAAGCCTATTTTCTTTCTCATATGCTCTAAACATGTCTATATCAAGAAGCCATTTTGTTTTCTACTTTGAGAAAAATAAATCTTTTTTCTTACTGTTTACTCTTTTAAGTGAGAATTGCTATGGACAAACCTTAACCACTTTGGTACGGCGCTCACTGGCCGCGAAACCTTGCCCACAGCCAGCACTCATAGTCTGCACAATAGTTTGTGCTGTGCATTGACAACACATCCGTTTTGCTCTTTTGTGTGATGAGGAAAGCTTGAAAGCACTGAAAGCTTGTTTTACTTTGCAGGTAGCTTTACTTGAAATGTAAATCAGAATAGGTAACATATACATATATATTTTCATTACATTATTTTTAAATGTTCACAATTTTATTGTGATAAATGAAAAATTATAAAAGTCATATCATGGCTGTCGGCTAAAGTCGACACTTAGTTGTGCACCTTCATATCATGGCTGTCGGCTAAAGTCGCTGTGCGCGTTCATATGTGGCTGTCGGCTATAGTCGACACTCGTATTTAAGTGGTTAACAAAGATTTTTTAAAACCAGGCTTTTAGTTGACTATCAAAAGTAGCAGTTCTCATTCATTCGTTTAACCTTAGTTATAAATATCACTCTAGATATTCGAACTCTTTAGACTTTATATTTGACAATGTTATCTGAAGATTATAAGAACCTATTGTTTATCAAAGAGCACAATTAATTTTTTTAATAGGGCTTTTTAAAATTGAGTTATAGCTATGCCTCTGATATATGAACTAAAGGATAAATGATGTAATGATTTATTCAGTCAGCATATCTGAGTACCTTCCAAGTGGCAGACCCCAAAACTCTGGTTTACAAGGGTTTTAAAAACAAACAAAAAAACCCTCTGATTTTGAAGGTCTCAAAGAGAAAAAAGATTAGCTCACATTTTCTCTCCTTATGGAGCTCATTTTTAAAGGATTCATTTACTATTAGAAAGTTATAAATATTAAGACAATGAAACCCCATAAAGATTAGTAGGTTATCTTTTCCACATATATTTTCCCTTTATGTTGCATGATCCAGTGTTTTAAATTCTTAATCTCATCACCAGTGTTATGAAGTTGTATTAAAATTTAAGAATTAAAACACAGCTCTTTTAATTTCCAGAAAAATCTGAAAACTGGAAGCTTCCTTGATAGGCTTGGGAAACTTTTATTACATTTATTTGTGGTTTTATGTTTGACACTTTTTCTCAACAACGTAATTAAGGTAAGTTAATAAAATGGTATATTTAATGTGTTTTTAAATTTGCTTATGGCATTAGAGATAATTCTTGAAACTTTCTTTTTTTTTAAAATTGTTTTAGAGACAGGGTCTTGCTGTGTTGCCCAGGCTAGCCTCAAACTCCTGGGCTCAAGCAATCCTCCTTCCTCAGCCTCCTGACTACGAGCACGCATCACTACACCCGGCTTTTTTGAAACTTTCAATTTCAAATAATTAAATTCTTGCTTTATCAAGTGTATTGGAATTACTGAAGAGTTAGCAGTTTTACTTTAAAAGGCTCAGTTTTAACTTTGTCTTAGTAACAAGAATTATTTTGTTGTTTTTAGTCATTGATTTCTATTCAGTCTATCTAAATGTTCTGTTAATACCTTGAATGCACTTACCTTTTAAGTTATTAAATTTTTAAAAGCTCAATTTAAAATCATTAAACAAATATTTCTATAAATTTAAAAAATTCTATTTAGTATCATAGTGTGCACATGGTTTTCTACACTATGGTACTAAATAAAAAATGACATGAGGCTGGGTGCGGTGGCTCACACCTATAATCCTAGCACTCTGGGAGGCCAAGGCAGGTGGATCGCTCAAGGTCAGAAGTTCGAAACCAGCCTGAGCAAGACCCCGTCTCAACTAAAAATAGAAAGAAATTAATTGACCAACTAAAAATATATATACAAAAACTTAGCCGAGCATGGTGGCACATGCCTGTAGTCCCAGCTACCCAGGAGGCTGAGGCAGGAGGATCGCTTGAACCCAGGAGATTTAGGTTGCTATGAGTTAGGTTGACGCCACGACACTCACTCTAGCCTGGGCAACAAAGTGAGACTCTGTCTCAAAAAAAAAAATAAAAAAGTGACATGATATTTATTGGGTTCAGTTAATAAATAAACTGGCCTCACTATCTAATGTCTGCTAAAAAGAGGAGTTGAGGGCCGGGCGCTGTGGCTCACGCCTGTAATCCTAGCTCTTGGGAGGCCGAGGTGGGCGGATTGCTCAAGGTCAGGAGTTCAAAACCAGCCTGAGCAAGAGCGAGACCCCGTCTCTACTATAAATAGAAAGAAATTAATTGGCCAACTGATATATATATAAAAAAAAAAAAAATTAGCCGGGCATGGTGGCGCATGCCTGTAGTCCCAGCTACTCAGGAGGCTGAGGCAGTAGGGTCGCTGAGCCCAGGAGATTGAGGTTGCTGTGAGCCAGGCTGACGCCACGGCACTCACTCTAGCCTGGGCAACAAAGCGAGACTCTGTCTCAAAAAAAAAAAAAAAAAAAGAGGAGTTGAGCTTATTTTGGGTAGCTGTTCCCCAACATTTAACTGACTTACAATTAACTGCCCTAACAGCAGAATGACACATTTAGTAACTTAGGCATCCCTTTGTTCTATGTCCAGGAGGTGCTTTGCTACGATTTTTTAAGTGCCCATGGGGCTCTGCTTAGTTTAACATGCTTTACTTTTTACATTTTATTTTACTTATTTTATTTTATAAATATATTTATAAAATATATAGTTATATTTATAAAATATAATATAACTATATACTACAAGTATATAGTTCTTGGACCATGACGTCCTCTTTGTTTTTATGTTAGAGCAAAACTACCATGATTTCTTCGGATGATTTTGCCCCTGGAGGCTGGTCTCGGGGAAAAGAGACCTTTGCAAAACCGGTTCCTTCTCCATAAGAGAATGGTGGCCCTTGCTCCTGTCTGTTGACTGTCAAAGAAAAAAAAAACTCTTCACTCAGCCAGCCATGTTAAACACCTTATTCCAGGTCCTCGTTACTGTGTTCTTATACTCTGTACAGTTCAGTACTTATCAAAAGCTTATTTGAGCAGAACAATCAGCATTTCTGGAAGACTGGCTGAGAGAGATGTAGTTCATCTGTTCTTGCTTTAATCCAACAGAAAGCTGCATCCCTGGACCACCGGTTTTTGACTCCCCAAGAGTAACATCTATATTGAATTGCACTTGGTATTTTGTCAGTGACCTACAATAAGAGGAATTAGAAAAAAATGGTCTTTGAAACTCCTTGCTGTTTTTACTGTACCCATGGGAAAAATTTCTCTTGAGCCTCAGTTCTAGGGCTGTTGGGCTCTCTTCTGAGCACCTGGTTTGTTTACTCTTAAGACCCTGTGAGTGACATACATGCATTTGTCTCCCTCTTTGCATTTACTAGAGCATGAGACCATGTTTGTAGCTCATCTCTAATGAATATATTTTGCATACTAACTTCAATTCTGGCCTCATCTTATTTTTTTCCCTGTCTTTGATTTTCTGCTGATGCAATTTCTTCACCATTTATCTTATGTGGATTTTTGTAAGCTATAAATTAAAAATAAAAATATTGGAAATTAAAATAGTAATCACTAATGATAAACACTGACATTTGTCTGTTCACCCCTTGAGGGTTACTACTGTCTTGAATTTTGTTTTCGTGAATAAGTCTTAGCATCAGTTCTATCTGCAGATCAAAAACCCCAAAGCAAAACAGGCTTTGTGGGCTATGTATCTGTTTGAGGTTTCAGATTGTCCTATTATTGGTTATCTGGTCTAAAAAATTGTATTTACTGTGCTTCAGCCTTCTCCCTCTCCTTGAAACCAAAAAAGCTCATCCTTTATCTATTTTGCATATTTAACTTATGTATAAGATGTTTTTTGAATAAAGGATTATGCTAAGATGGGGGGGGCAGGGAGGGAGAGGAGGGAATTTGAAATTTCCTGCTTTAGAATTCCTCAGTTCTGAAAACTACTGTGAACATTTACTAATTTTATACACGCACACTCTCCTATGAAATTGGACACTGAATATCCATATTCAATGGGAAATTATCAGGAAACCATGCCTAAGACACCAATAGCAATTTTTTTCTCTCTCCCCAATAGAAAATTCTTAACCTGAAGTCAGACGAACACATATTTAAATTTCTGAAGGCAAAATTTGGGCTTGGAGCAACAAGGTATGACTGTATTGAAAATCTGTGTTTGCTGTTTTATTTTAAATCAGCAGGGACTTTAAAACTTCAGGCATCATTATGCCTAGACTATTAATTGTAGACTCATTTAAAGGAAAAGTGTAATTTAGTTTCTTTGCCTTATATTGAATTTAATGCTTTGCTTTCCATTTGTTCCCTAGGGATTTTGATGCAAATCTCTATCTGTGTGAAGAAGCTTTTGGCCTTCTGCCTTTTAATACATTTGAAAGGCTTTCATATACTCTGCTTTTTTATGCTTACATATTTGTACTGTCCATCACAGTGATTGCAGCATTAGTTGTTGCTTTTCATAATCTCAGGTATGGCATATTTCAGAACTCTAACACTTTGCTTTAATGAATTTGTTACGTGTTGCAGAAAAATTGCTCAATTGAAAATCAGAATATCAGACACAGTGTAGAGTAGTATTATTTACCTAAAGGGGAAACATCTGGTTTGGCATGGACTCTACTTTCCATAGCTAAGAGATAGCAAAGAGTAAAGGTCACAGTGCATACTCGTCTAGTCTTAAGTCTTAGCTTCACAGTGCGCTTAGCTTGCACACTTAAGAACAAAGTGATCATTGAGTCAGTTATATAACCTTTCAATATTTCCATTTCCTTGTCTGTAGAGTGGGAATACTAGAAGTACTTAGACTATAGGGCTTCATGAGAAATAAAGAAGTTAAAATAATATAAAGTACTTAAAATAATGTCTTCATGCTTATCATATTTTGTAGATATAAGTTCTCATTAGCTATTATTATTACTATTGACTCATAAGTTGCTATTTTGTTTCCCTTATTTCGTGTGTTTTTCTACCTTCTTCGTCTAGCTGCTTTTTAAAATTTCTTATGACATATCAAGACTTAATTATTGTTCATTTGTTTTCTTGCATCTTATTTCAGGGCTCATAAAGTTGGAGTAGACCATAATTATTAATGTCTACTAAAATTTTTAAGCAATAATTGCCAGTTTTTTAAAACTTTGCATGTCTACTAGACTACTGAAAGAAAAAAATCAGGGATATAAAGCCTTTTTAAAAACTTCCCGAATACCTGTCTATCAAGCTGCTAGGGGGTTTGCATTTACTACTTGTGTTAAATTGAAAGAAAATTAAGTGGAAGAAGATGAAGCTACTGTCATTTGTGAAAGCTTAATGAAGCTCACAAGGAAGCCCTTTCTCTCCATAGTTACCTAGCCAATTAAGGTGCTGGGTAAAGTATGATTCACAGCCACAAGAGAGGTGTCGTTAAAATGAGCCCAGATCAGTTGAGGTGTTTTATGATTATCAAGAATGAAGCAACATTGAACCATGAAAATATTTCATTGACTATAAAGTAGTTTAGTATCTTTCAGATGTGTTCTTTTTTATACCTTGCCCAAGATAAAATTTAGTCCTGTGAAAATAGATGGAAATTATTTTAGACAGTGTAATTTAATATTATTCCAGACACCAGGTTTTCAACAGGACTCTAGACTGCATACAAAGCAGGAAGTGCAGTTGGCCTTCAGTACCTTTTGACAGTGTCTGCCATGCTCAGTGTGAATCTGTGAGCCGTCTCTGGAGCTGATTTGGTATATGATCATAGATAAAGATTTTAGAGCATCCTCATCTACCAGGTAGGGATATTAGGACTCATAAGAGGAAAAGCACTGCGTTAAAGTAATTAAAGGATCATTGTACAGTGATGCGTTACTTAATGGTGGGGATATGTTCTGAGAATTGCATCGTTAGGTAATTTTGTCGTTGTATAAACATCATAGCATATACTTACACAAACCTAGATATAGCCTACTACACACCTAGGCTATGTGCCATAGCCTGCTGCTCCTAGGCAGCAACGCTGGACAGCATATCACTGTATGAAATACTGTAGGCAGTTCTAACACAATGGTAAGTATTTATGCATCTAAACATTTAAAAGGCATAGTAAAAATATGGTATAAAAGATTTAAAAAGGTATGCCTGTATAGGGCCCTTACCCTGAATGGAGCTTGTAGGACTGGAAGTTGCTCTGGGTGAGTCAGTGAGTGGTGAGTGAATGTGAAGGCCTAGGACATTCTAGTACACTATTGTAGACTTTTTAAACACTGTACACTTAGGCTACACTAATTTTATTTAAAAATAACATAATTGCGCTACAATTTTACAGTGTCACTAAGTGATAGGAATTTTTCACCTTCTTTATAATCTCATGGGACCACTGTCAACTATGCAGTCTTTCGTTGACTGAAATGTCGTTATGTGGCACATGACTGTAATCTTAGCATGCATTAACTTTTAAGTAACCTGAAGGGTATTTTATCAATGCCAAGTACTTAAAGCTTTTCTACCTTTTTAGTACTAGGGAGGAGATACTATTACACTCACAACACATCTGCATTAGCGTGAAGGCTATAGCTGAAAGGGCACGGTGTTCTATATTCATGGGATTAATAAGAGCCTTCCAGCTTGGCTGGGGTATTGGGGGAGGTGTTGCAGAATTCTCCCAGGTATCAAGGGAAGATAAGCGCATATGTTCTCCTTGTCTGGAGTAACCTTTTAGTATCAATATAGAAGCCAATATTTGGGTTGTAATATTTAACATTTAAGTAAAGATTACTACCAATGGTGAAAACTCTCTTAGAATATCACTTTACTTTTCCTGTGTAGCTACAGTAGTGAAAAGAGGATTTCTAGGAAGCAAAATCTCTCTAGTTATATGGGGAAGCATTATACAGATCCAGTTCTATTGGATATGCATGAAGGATCAGTAGGACCTTCATGAAAGTTTTATTTTTATTTTAAACTGGCAGCCCGCACTGCTTTCTTTTCCCTCAACAACAAATTGTGTGACATCTAAACTCACTCATCAATCTTAACATCACTTAAGTGGAGACAGCCGGTTTGTGCCTCCCAATGTGATGCATTCAGTAGGCCCCCCTTTTCGTGGGGGATACATTTCAAGACCCCGAGTGGATGCCTGAAACTGGGTAGTTTGACCCTACACACTACTGTGTTTTTTCCTATACGTACATACCTATGATAAAGTATAATTTCTAAATTAGGCACAGTAAGAGACAAACAACAATAGCTAATAATAGAACAATTATAACAGTATGCGAGCATCACTACTCTTGTACTTTGGGGCCATTATTAAGTAAAATAAGGGTTACTCGAACACAAGCAATGCCGTGACAGTTGATCTGCTACTAAGTGACTAATGGATGGGTAGCATGTACAGTGTGGATACACTGGACAAAGGGATGATTTATGTCTCAGGCAGGACAGAGAGGGACAGCAAAAGATTTCATCACATGAAACACAACTCAAAACTTATGAATCGTTTATTTTGGGAATTTTCCATTTAATGTTTTCAGACAGCAATTTCCGCAGTAACTGAAACCACCAAAAGGGAAACAAACCACAGATAAGGGAGGATACTATACATCATGACCTTGTGAGGAGTTCGTGCCAAAACAAAATGAACTTGACTCTAACAAACCTGTAGATCTAACTACAAGTTTACAAGAAATATGGAAATAGAGAATGTATTAAACACCACATAAGCTAAATACAGGAGATGGGAAGAGTTATAGGACAAATGTTAATATATTTTCTTTTTTTTCTTTTTTTAGTATTTTAAAATTTTATTTTTATTAATAAAAAAATTTTATTTTTTCTTTTATTTTTCTTACATTGATCTGACTGCCAAATGTAATATATTTTCTTCAACAAATGGCCTTTTTTTTTAAAGGGGGGATACTTTTATAGATCAAAAGATATTTAAAGAGATATATCAGTGAAATGCAATACATAATCTTCGTATCCGCATTCAAAGAAAAAAAGTTGCTAAAAACAGGGAAAACAGAACATAAACTGGGTATTAAGTAAGTTAAAGAATTAAAGTTAATTTTATTGGTGTGATAATGTTAATGTAGCTATATTTGATAGAAGTCATCTCTTGGAAATACATCATGAGTTATCTTGGAAATAGATCATGAGTTATTGATAGGTTAAAAATGTGATTTAGGGTTCATAAAATTGCTCCCAAATTTTTGGATATATTTTTGCTTTTACTTATTTGTAAACATTTTTAAAATACTGGTAATAACCGATAAAACATCTTTAAATATCTCTTCCAGTTTCAGTGATTCCAAAGGATTTTTTTTGCTATTGTCTTTTAAAGAATTGATGCATTTTAAGTTTTTACTTAAATTGAAGGCTACTGTGAAATTTTAGCTTTCTAATTACTAATGCATTTATACTGTGACACTTTTAGCTTCAGATATTCAAATTTGATCAGTACTAATATATTTCATCTTGGGAAAAAATACATTTCTAAATATATAAAGACATAAGTTTCTTATATCTTATTCTTTAAGATTTAACTAAGGTAGGCTGGGCACGGTGGCTCAGGCCTGTAATCCTAGCACTCTGGGAGGCCGAGGCGGGCAGATTGCTCGAGGTCAGGAGTTTGAAACCAGCCTGAGCAAGAGCAAGACCCCGTCTCTACTTTAAATAGAAAAAAATTAATTGGCCAACTAATATATATAGAAAAAATTAGCCAGGCATGGTGGCGCATGCCTGTAGTCCCAGCTACTTTGGGAGGCTGAGGCAGAAGGATTGCTTGAGCCCAGGAGTTGGAGGTTGCTGTGAGCTAGGCTGACACCACGGCACTCACTCTAGCCTGGGCAACAAAGTGAGACCCTGTCTCAAAAATAAAAAGATTTAACTAAGGTAAATTTTTTCCAACTTTAATTTTGTGTATTTGCTATTTTATTCAGTGATTCTACAAATCAGCAATCCATGGATAAAATGGGAAAATGTACAGTTAACCTGAAACCAGAAACTGCCTATAACTTGATACATACCATTCTGTTTGGATTCTTGGCCTTGAGTACAATGAGGTATTTTGTCTTATCTATTTCTTTAATTTAATTTTTAATTTGACCATTGTTTACTTGACGTTACTTAGCAGTGTAATCTGGAAACCAACAAGCATCTTCATTTATGATTAAGGTTCCCATAAAATTGTCATGATATTCTGTCTTCTCCCAGTACAAATTTTTACTAATAATCAGTTTTTTCTTAATTACAAACAGTCATCTATGTTTTACTTATGTGATAGTTCTCAGAAGACAAGGGAATTAATAACTGACCCCTGAGCAAATGGTGTCTGTGTGGTTTATGTGAGATTTTACTGTCCTAGACTGTAAAGCTCCCTTTACAGGTATCTCAGGCTCCAGGTTTATGCACAACTAGTCCTTTGTTGACTTCTGTGAAAACTTCCTGTTTTACAGAATGAAGTACCTCTGGACGTCGCACATGTGCGTCTTTGCATCGTTCGGCTTATGCAGCCCTGAAATATGGGGGTTACTTCTGAAGTCAGTCCGTCTTTGTAACCCCAAGAGGGTCAGTGCTGTCCCTTTTTTCATTTACTTGTTATGATTTTTAGTATTTCTTCCATACCAGTTCTTTTTTGTCAGTAGTTGCCCATACATCAGTCATATAAAATGGATACTAAAATTTGAAGCTAAAAATAGGTCATGGGTGCATTCAGATTTTATAAGGAATTATTTTGTAAATAATTTTATTTTTAAAAATCACATTTTTTTTTCCAGACTACAGTTTAGATTATGTTCATTATATATATATAGAATTTGGAAATATTTTAAAAAGCACAAAAAGGTAAATTAAAAATTACCAATAATCCCCTTATCTGAATTCTAACTGTTATTATAATGTATTTTTCTAAAAATAATTAAAAATAGATGATAATGTTCAATAGCTTAGAAGTACAGTTTTGGATTGTTCTGCCCTGTAAGTTCACTAGGTGGCAATATGGTAGAAGCTACCAATATCTTATGAATGATTAGAACCCTTATATTGACTCAGTTGTGTTGGGTATTTGGAGACTTGTGCTCCACTAAATTATATTTCTGTTGTTTAAAAAAAACAAGGCGGCATATATTTACAAAGCAAAACCATTAAAAAAAGCCGGGCACGATGGTGCAGGCCTGTAGGCACAGCTACTTGGCAGGGCGAGTCTTGCTATGTTGCCTAGGTTGGCCTGGAACTAACCTAGGCAACATAGCAAGATACTCCATCTCTTTTTAAAAAAAAAGTGTTCAAAATACTTGTAATCTAAATGGTGTCTTTCTTATATAGATATGTATAATGCGATATTCAGTACCAATATTAATACTGCTGTATCTGTGCTATAAGGTAAGATGGATTTTCCTCATTCTTGTCATTAATCTGTTTAGCAGAATAATTGGTTTGACTCAATGTATCTTGTGCATTATTTGGCAAAATAGTGGTTTGTGGAGGTTATAAATATCTCGTTAGCTTCTTACTGCAATTGGCATTGATAGGAGAACAAGTAAAAACATAACAAACAAGGAAAACGAGTAAAATATAACAAAAACTAGTATAGCATTTAGTCATTCTAATTTTGGTTTTTGATTCTTACTGTTCAGCTGATGCAAATTCTGAAAATAAGATGTTTTCAGACCTATTTTGAAATGAATAAAGTAGGACAATTGTTTTCCCATTACCTAATTGATATAGAGCAAGAGATTTTTATTAATAAATGTATCTTACTTAATCTAGGCCTTTTTATGTGTTCTTCAGTTTCAATAGGAAGTAATGGAATTTTTCATATTCTCAGTTGACTGATATCTGAAATAACATTAACTCTGCTTCAAATCTGAGAACTTCCTAGCAGAGATGATTATTGATCAAGTTGACCACATCTTTGGGATTTAAGGCTTGAATTATGTCACCTGGGCCGCTAGCACAGATTCTTTTACCCAATTGAGTTCTTGCCTTCTCTTTTTAAAAACTTTTACATATTATTTAAGTTTAGATTTATTTCTCATCAAATTTTATTGTAAGTTAGAACAATGGATTTCAGACTTTACTGTAAAGAGCCCCTGATTTTGAAGGGTGGTAAAGGTTCCCACCCAGAGAGAGGATCAGCTGAAGCAGTTCCGATTTTGGTTTTCTTTGTTTATATTTTCATGTAAAATTTTGCAAACCGAAGGTTTTAGGCTAAAGAAAACAATTTGATAAACACTATAAGTATTTCCAAAAAAAAAAATCACATTCTATCATGTTCCTATATATCAAAACATTTACTATCATGGGCAGAGCTCTGCGCTAACTCCTAAATGTTGGAAAACACAGAAATGGATTTCTGCCTCCCTGCCTTTGGAAGTTTTATTGGTCTAATGTAAATAAGTGAAACTTACTAAAAACATGGGGGGAGCAACAATTAAGGATTTTAAACAGAGTATCTGCTAATGAGGAATCAGGTAACTTCACCTGTACACAGTGATTTTGAGGATTAAAACTTCATCGTTCTTGTCCCACCACTGAAGACACACGCAGATTGTAACAATCTTTTCCACTGCCTGCACGCATGCAGTCTCCATTCTTTTATGTCCTAGCTGTTCATTGAAACTTTATTAATTTTTTTAAAAGCTATTTGGGGACCAAGGTCCCTCACTCTTAGTAAAATTGAGGAAGGACTCTGTAAAAGAAATGAACTATATTATAGAGCAGCTTCAGGTGCGGTCCCCAGACAAGCTGCATCAGCATCACCTGGGAGCTCGTTAGAAATACAGGTGTTTGAGTCCCACTCTAGACCCTGGGAGTGGAGTTCAGCCAGCCCATCAGGTGATGTACCCATAAAGTTTAAGAAACCCCTCCTGTAGTGTTAACAGGGTTTCTCAACAGTGACACTGTTGACATTTTGGCCAGACAATTCTTTGTCATAGAGGGCTGTCCTGTGCATTATACTATGTTTAACAGCACCCTTACTTCCTACCCACTAGATATTGATAGCACCTCCATCTCCCCTAGTTGTGACAACCTAAGATGTCTCCAGACATTGCCAAACATCCTCTGGGGTGGGAAGGGCAAAATCTTTCCCCCCACTCCTCTTGAAAACCAGTGCTATAGAAGAACCAGTGAGATCACTGAAAAAGTCATCATTTCCTGGAAATTCTTGTAGATTTTTTCTGAGAGGTAATATTCTAAAGAATCCTCTGAAAGACTGTTGGCCTAGCCTCTCTTGGTATAAGGACTTCAGGAGAAATCCTAATGCATTCAGCTTTCACTGTATACAATAGTTTAGATATTTCATCTTCTCAAAACTTGTAAAATATGAAGTCACAGAGAAAATAAAGATGTTATATATCTTAGGGGTTGCCCTGAAACTGAATCTGTTTTCCAACTGTTACAGATTTATCTGTAAGTAATGTGAATTCATACATTTCAAGGCCTGAATTTATATCACAGTTGTAATGAGGGTTTAAAATTTCTTGTTCATGATATCATTTTTGCTGTATCTCTCTTTAGGATAATCTTATTAAAAGGGAAAAGCATGTACTGGTCTCTACTCTGAAGTTGAGAGTTTAATGAAATTATTACTCTGGTCTTGATTGACTTATTGGGGTTGCTGAAATCCCATGTAAACTGCTGATGGGTAAAAACATCATGTAGTTAATTCAGCATTTTTACATTGTTAAAGAAGTTTGCTACAAAACTCTCACTAGATTTTATTATTTTCAGAATTAATAGCAGCAACTTTCAAACTAGAAAAATATCTAATATCCATTGAGTTCACAGATTTCAAATATTTTTTATACTGAAAGAATTAGACCATTTCATTAAAATGTTGGCATTCTATTGATTCTCAAGTTAATAGGGAAAATGGATAATTGAAATATTACAAAGCTGTCATTTAATCTGTAAATTTTGCCCCATCTCTTCCAAAAGCTAGAACCAGAAGTGCTGACTCCTGATTTTCCATCCCTAGCAGTTTCCCTGATTCACCCACCCAGGAGACAGGATTTGAATACACAGTAAAAATGGCCAAAGATAAGATGACCCAAACCAAAAGTGACAGGGCTAAAACACAGCCATAGACCAATCAGTGCTACTTTGCTTCTACTTAGTAGTTCTTAAGTAAAATTATCATATTTTCTACATCAGTGAAGCATAGAGACATTGTCGTTGGTCCTCTATGCCAATATGTGAAATGAATACTGCAGTTGATATGAGCAGATCTTAGTCAACCATCATTTGATAAAACAATTACAATTTAATTAATTGTTGAAGTGAATAGCTTTAAGTTATTGTATGTTAGGTAAATGGTGAGTTCAGAGTGTAATTTTACATTTTATCTGCATAACCTTAAGAAAATCAAGTTCTCCAGGAGGCACCAATGGTATAGTCAAATATATCAGATTTTCCTGGAGAGTCCTACATTTGAATATTATTCTCTCTCATTTTACCAGTAATTAATGTATGTCATTTGATAGATTTCTAGTACAAAAAATACTGTCACAGTATTATGCAATGAAAAGGGGGCTGGATTTGGAGCCAGGTTCTAAGTCATGGCTCTGCTACTTGTGACCTGGTCAAGTCAGGTACCTCTCTGAGCCACAGTTTCCGTACTTGTAAAATGAAAAGTAAATCCCAGTGGTGATGTTGCCTGCTGCGTCATCTGACTTGTGGGCTGTTGTGAGGATAAAACGAGATTCTGTGTTCAAATACATTTTCGCAGCTATAAAATGGTGTACAGCAGAGGTCCTCAAACTTTTTAAACAGGGGACCAGTTCGCTGTCCCACAGACTGTTGGAGAGTGCGCACTGTGGGCCTGGGACGAGTTGGCTGCTAAGCAGGACAGGCTGCGGCAGCAAAAACACCCGGAGGGCTGGATAAATGTGCTAGGCAGCCTGCATGTGGCCCTCAGGCCGTAGTTTGAGGACGCCTGGTGTACAGTCTACTTTTTAAGGGTAGATTGTATGATGTTAGTTAATTACATTTTCCTGATACATTGTGAGCTTTCACGTGGTTGATATTCTTGTCATATCAAAATAATGTTTTGCTAGATATTAACACCACATGCAATAGTGTTTTTATTAGAGAAAAATAAAAGCTCATTTATAAAGTTGCCAGTACCTTTAGTCCTAATTAACTTCAGCTCAAGATAATTTCAAAGTCCTTTTTCAGACTTTACCTCCCTTGTGCTTAGGAGGGTTGAGTACAGAGATGAAGGATTCTATATTCCAGTTGCCATGTTTATTTAGGTCACAAATTATGTGGAGTTTCTCTTTTTTTTCATTTAATATTAGTGATAGTTGTGGGTCTGGGGGTGGATTTTGTTTTTGTTTTGTTTTGTTTTTAATTTCAGTTCTGGCCAGGAATGATGGATGAACTCTCCGAGTTGAGAGAATTCTATGATCCAGATACAGTGGAGCTGATGAACTGGATTAAGTAAGAGGATTTTTTTTAACCTTAAAATTCTAAGTACCTTTTAAGAGTCGCTATACACTTCATTAGTTTTTTGGGGTGGTTTTTGTTTCGGAATCTAATTGTGAAGAAACATTTATTAAATTTTTCTTTAAAACTCTATATTTGGAAATAACTTCTTTCCATTCAAGAAATATTCTCTCCAACTATATCCCACAAAGAAAGGAAAATACCCATTTGGAGAGGAAACTAGAGTGGAGGAATAAATTTCAAACCACTGACAGAAACGGCAATAGAATGTTATTTATCATCTGTGTTAAAACTCATGGTTTTATATTCTCTTCCAAATTTATCTTTATTATTTTGTCATAATACTGTTCAAGTTTTCTATTAATGCTGACATTTGAAAGTATTTTTTCCTTGTTAATTATTTTAAAATTGTACTGTAAACTCCAGTTAATTAGAGTCATAATAGCTTAGTGCAGATTTCATTTTAGCTAATCATATTGCCCAAGCCTAAGCCTAGAGAAAATGTGAAATACAAAAACTAGAGCTTGTGTTCTCTTGAGCATCATAATGCTTTAGCATGATGTTGGTTCTTATTTTCTCCTGTGCTTTGTTGCTCTGCCTCAGCGTTCAGCGTCAGAATGAAATTCGTGTATTTCAGAGCTTTGTTAATGAAACCTGTCTCCTACCAACAAAAATAAACTTTTCTGTCTCATGCCCTGTAATACTGTATTTCCCTACTTTAGAATCAAAAAGCAGCAGTGTTATTATTCACACACAAATAGACATTGCAAATCTTGTGTGACATATTCTGAAAGCCTTGGCTGTGTTGTCTCCATCACTTAGAATTTTCGTAACCGTATTGGCACTCGGTCATGACTAATGTTTACTAACCAGTACAGTTTAGCACTGCCTGGGTATTAATAGATGGTAAATGTTTGATAGTTTAGGTCTCTTGAGTGCAATACATGGATTTTATAGAGATTTATGTCTAAAATACATATGTGGCTTTGGTCCCAATGTCGGACTGGGTTTGACTAGATGCAGTGAGTGTATTTTTTCACATATTTCTAGTGCTGAGAGTGTTAAGCAGTGCTTTGTCTCTGTTTATTTAATTTTAAACCATGCCAAACAATTACATAGAGTAAATGATTCCTTCAGTATTTATTATACATAGGAAAAGAGAGTTATTTGCATAAAAGAAAGCTAATTACTTCTGCCTTAACTATAGTCAACTGGAAATTTATGACATGTGCATCTGAAAATGAGGCTGATGTTTTCTGTCTCTAAGATTATACATGGGAAGGCTGCAGGACACCCGCGTTCTGGTAGCATCCTGGAGAGGGTAGATCTTTTCCAGATCTGCCTGGGTTAACAATGCAAGCCCCTCATTTCCACTCCCGTCTTTCAAGAATTGACTGTAGTGATTCAGAATGTATTCTAGCAGAGCGAGCTGAGGTTTATCTTCGGCTGCCCTAGACTGGACGCACTTATTTGTAGTGCCTTTATTGTCGTGCTTTTTCTCACAGAAGATGACTTATAGTAACATCGTGGCTCTGAAAAGTTGTGAGTGAGAGGTTACTCCAGATGTAAAGAAGATGGTGTGCCAGTCCGTTATTGCTCCCTTTGGGGAAATGTCTTTGTCCCTAGATTTCCTCTTGCCGGCAGCCCTCTCCCTGAGCTGCGCCTTTGGAGACATGCTCTTCTTTTTTGTTAATTCTCAGCAACTGAAGGATTTGTATTGTTCCAAAAAATTTGTTCCATTGTGATCTGACTTTGCCTTTTTTTTCCTCTAAAATTCTTCTAATCTAAATTACCGTTTTTGTAAAAATAGCTGCTTGGCATGTTTGTGAAATAAGCTTAAGTGATGATGAATGTATGCCAAAATAGGGTCTATTTAGACATAAAATGTGTTTGTTTAAATCAACATTTAAATCAGCTCTGGTCCTCAGTCTTCGATTCCAAACACAAGTGAATGTACTTAATATTCTTTTTAACCTTCCCTGATTTCTTCTGTTTTTGAAACATAAAATATGACCTCCAGCATTCACTTCATTGCTTTGAGTCACGGTGTGTCCGTGATGTTAGAAAGTGCGCGTTGTGCTGGAGAGGAGACCGTGGCCTTAAGGGTACGTGGAGTGTACCTGCAAGCAGCCACTGGTGTCTGGTGGGGAGCCCCCGCTGCTGGTGGGAGGGTGCCTCAGTTCCCTCCATCCTGTCTTCTGTGTGTGCTGTTCTCAAGCACCCAGCTGTCTGTCCTTTGTCACTGCAGACATGACAGCGTCTCTTGGGCAGGGGCACAGCCTCCATTACCGGATGGCTGCCATCGGGGTGATCAGAGCTAGAGAAATGGTGACCTGCAGAAGCTCTAGGGGACCCTCATTTTTGCACAGGGTAACTCTCACATCAAGTGCGGAGAAGCAGCTTGTTCGTCATCTCCCAGCCTCTGCTTCACGAACTTGACGCTGGGGAAGCCTCAGCCTGCCTCAGGCAGCGCTGTTGTGCTCCAGGGACTCAGCCTCCACTTGGAGAGTCAGACAATGCGAGCATTTGCTGAGAGCACCTCCACTTTGAGGGTAAATTGAAAGATGACATCGCCTCAGTGGGAGTTACTTATCTTCTTTTCTTTTTGAGGGGCTTGGTTATGACCTTTTATAGGCTAAAGAGATACCTTCAAAGGAAAATGAAGGGCATTACTTTAGGATAACACTTACTAATATGAGAGGCATCATGCCAGAGGGATTAGATTTCTGTGTAAACATTTAAAGTCTTACTATTTGAAGTTTATTTCACATCTGAATTTTTTTACTTAATACAATTCAGCAGGTGTTTATTGAGCTCCAGCTGTGTAGTAAACATGCTAACGTTGGGTAGCAGTGCATTGACTGCCTCCTCATTAGGGTAAACGTGGAGCTTCATCTCAGCACCGTTGTCTTCATTCTTGCCTCCCGTGTTCTTTCTTTCGACTCCATTTTAAGATTTTCAGAGGCTTAAAAGGTTTAGTGGAACAATTTTTTTAGAGTTCTAACTTTTAGTAATAGAAAATGTTCCTTTATGGTTTCCTATCTTTAGTTCCTTAAAGGAATGGAGATTTAAATATAAAACTAAGAATATTTAGGGATTAAATTTTTCTTTTTTACAAGGTTATTTGGGCATTTTAATCAAAAACAGTTTAGATGGCAAGGACATTTTGTTGAAGTCAGGCCACCTGGGTGTAGTAGCCCCAGCTGCCTTCCCTGTGAGAGCCGGGAGGTCAGCCGCCCCGTGCCGCCCACACCCCAAGCCTGTGTGCGCACCTGGCTGCCTGCTTGCCACATTGCACCGAGGTGCTGCATGCCTCCTTTTCAAGCAGATTTAAATGCATATATTCATATTTACCCCTCTTTGCTGATAATGTTTCCTGGATACAAACCTGGGTGGTTTGTTGGTTCTTTTTTTGCCTTCTGGTATTGCTTTCAGCAAAAACCAGGTGGTACTTTTATAGGTTTCACGTGTGATTAGAAAGCACATTTATTTCAGCAAGGCCAAATGCAACAGCAATCTGTGCTTCATACCTTGTTCCTTTGTGTCCTTGAATGTTTCATTTTTGGTTCCTGAAAATTTTCTTTGACATTTTGCAATTAAGATAGACAGATCTGCAGATTTGAATATTTTGAGGTATGACATTTTAACAACTTGGCTATAGGAGATTTTCACTAGAAATAGTCTCTCTTCAGTAATGAAGCGTGTATATGCGGTATATTCTCAGTGGGACTGAAAAAATATACCAAGTTTCTTTCACATTTAATCAAAGCAGAAAGAGTTACTGTATATTTTTAATATGATGTAGGCTAAGTTCCGATTTTAAATGCCTGCAAACCTCTTTTATATTTAATGAATCATTTTATAGCATTTGCATAATTCTATAAATTTTTGAAGTGTAGGTAAAGCAAATGTTCACACATTATATTATAATGCTCAGTTTACCCATTAGTTCAACAGTAATTAACTTGTTGAAACTTAGAGCTTAAAAAATCAATGAGATTATTTGTTCAAAATGCCATCAGGTCTTCCTGGAGTGACATTTAAATTATATAATGTAAATCCATTTGACCTATGAGTCCTTGTCATTATGTAGTGACATTTCTTACAGAACAAATTGTTTGCAGGTTGGGCAACCTGCGATGGAGCTTGGCAGAGAGCTATAAAAACAAATTATCCTTTCATTTTATACATCATTTGTTCATACATTTGTAAAAATTGCTTTGTTTTTCTGTAATGGAGAAGTGTCACTCAATGGTTAAAAGCACATTAGCTATTTTAGATACAGACCACAGACTGTATCAGGCAAAAGTATCTGTGAAGGAAGAATGCCCAGCATTTTATCTGTCATTGTGCATATTTTCAGTTAAGGACAAAGAATCTGGTCTCCCTTTGTCTGCTAATTTTACCACAGAAACTATTAAATACAACACATATAGGGATTTTTTTTAAAGTTTGGAAATTGTGTGATTGATTGTTTTTCATTTTGTTCCGCTTTGCTTGTTACCTTTACTTTTTGCATTTATGTTACCGGTAAAGTTAAATATTTAAAGTAGCAGTGATACGGCCCAGATTTGCCATGGAGCTAGCATTTAAAACCAGGTTAAACAGAATAAAGTAAATAAACATCATCTCTGCTATCTTCAGAGGTCAGTAGTTTTCAAAGAACTATTATTTCTAATTCATTTATATAGACATTAGGATACTTGTATTTTAAATCTCTAAAATAAAACCAAGGGCCTTAGTGAAAGACTGTTAACCATCCAGAGGAGTGCTGCACTAACAGATTGAACAGATTATGTTTCTTTCAGATTTTCTGATTTTTTGAAAAGAAAGCCAAACATTAGGACCTTTTCAATTTAATGAGCTTTATTCTGTCTTATTTTTATTTTTTATATTTTATTTTTATTCTGTGTCTTTATTTTTTTATTCCATCTTTCCTTCAATTCCTCTAAGCAGCCATTTGACATACCACCTTACTCTGCTGCTGCCTGTCGGGGCTTAGGAGGTAGGAACCTCTCAAGTGCTCTTGGAGCGTACTGAGGAGAGAGCATTTTTAATGGCTGTGTTTGGTTTCCAGCATAGAAGGCCCACAGTAAGCATTAGTAAATATGCGATGGGCTAATTGCAGTATTGGTTTATTTTGAAGTGTTTGCCTGTCATGAGAGCTGAGAGCCCGGCTATATTAACTAGTGAGCGTCTTGAAAAGAGGATATCAAACCTTGTTTGCCAGCCCAGCACACAGTAGGCCCTCAGTAATGTTTTTTGAATAGATAAAGAACAACTTTGTAACTCCCTCGAGAGCAGGTCAGGAGTTTGACATAACTCTGTGAACTCTGTAATTTGTCAAGGCATTATGATTAGAGTCCAGGAAGCAGGCTGAAACCTTGGTCATTAGCTGTGATTAGGTAACAAGGTCAGTCACCTGTCGCTGCTGTCGTTATAAAATGCATCTTATAAACAGCTCTGCGCATCTTCTTGGTGCTGATTCCTATGGTATAAAACGGTGATGCTAAGTCTTGTGATTTGAGTGGGTATTGTAAGCTCGGCTGCTGGGCTTGTCTTTTGTGTAGAAAGATTGGCTTGGCACGCTTAGGCAGTAAAACATACAAACCAGGATTGTTCACCCCGTCAGCTCTCGCCTCTGCCTCATGCTCTGCCCGACGTGGAAACCAGACTCTGTTTCTTTCTGCATTCTATGTTTGTCTAGTTCAGAGGACCCAAAGACAGCCACCTTTTGGTATTAACAGGTGACGTTATTGTATCATTTCTTGCAGTGGAATGGCTTTGTCAGTTGAGATTACACAAAAGGAAAGAAGACTGACTTATAAACATGATGGCACTTTCTTTAATTAATATGTGTTCATATTTATTCTCTTTAGTAGTAATGGCACACCACAAATGAAGGCGGCACAGTATGCAAGGCCCAGAATAAGTGTTAAGTGTTAATGGAATCACACTGAATTTCAGTAAAACCTTTCACTAAGGAATTCTGTGCACCTTCACATGTTTTCATTTAAACCCACCCGTTCCTCTGACCCTGTGGGATAAATGTCAGAGATCCCCCGTCAACTGTTGGTAGAAAGGACAGAGGAAACATCTGTTTGTTCTCGTGTTCCTGGGTGTGATTGTCAGAGCGATGACAGCCTATCAAGTACAGCCAAGCCACGCAAAACTTTGTTCTGTCGGAATCCACAGTCTAGACTCTGGCATGGGGGGGATGCAGATTATGTGTCATTCCTTGTATGCTCATTGTAATTCTATCCGTTTCTTTTCCCCCTCGTTTAAGAAAGCTTATTGGAATGCGAATGAATGAGAGTGTCATTGTTAGAAAGAAAATCTTGAATTTTTCAGAAGTAAATTATTTGTAAATGTCACAACTTGAGTTGTAGGACGTCTTGCTCATAGACATCCAAAGGCCTTAGTTGGATGGCATTCATGCTGTAGTCTTAGCGCGAAGTTGGAATACATAAAACATCCTGGTGGGATGTATGAATATGATGAGGCTTCTCTTAGAAACCTCAGCAGCAGAGCAAGTTTCATGCCCTGTTCTCCAAAACCATGGAGGGAAACAGCCTGCCAGAGCTGCTTCTGCAGAGGATGTTGAATTTTAATGATTTCATATAAACTCCTCAAAACTATCTCCTTTATTTAGCTCAGTCCAACAGGCGTGGATTCCTCTTTCTTAACACAGACAGGATAAATGTGTCTTGCAGTAAGTCCTACTGGGCCTCAAGAAAAGTGTGCACTGGCGAGAACTCCTAGAAGAGCTGTGTGGTCTCCACAGTAAAATAAGCCCTCATCGGCTTGCAGGTGACGCTTGGGTTTCCAAAAAATGGACATTAAATCCATTTCTACGATTCTTTGTTTCTCATGGGGGAAAGGAAGCATGCTCTGTCCATATTCTAGGAATCTTTCCTTGGGCCCATCATTGTCCCCCACACCCTATGGGGAGGTGGAGGATCATAGGGTGGTGGTAGCTGGAGAATGAGGTTGTACTTTAGGGTTAGGGTCCCCTGTATTCCTTACACTGCACATAAATAAGGCTAAAGAAAGGGAGTGTGTAAAATATTTTTGTTTCCACATCAGGAGTATTTTACATCTTCATATTGAGTAATAAGATACTTGCTCTTTTGGGATCTTCTTTTCATGTTCTTTTGTTTTTATTAATTGTTCATAAAAGTAATTTATAGTAATGTCTGATTTTTTTTTTTTCATGCTTTTTACAAAAATCCTTGGAATTGACTCATGATCACCAACAGTTTCTGGCAATAGTTTGTCATAGTTTACTCTGGGAGGCCCTTTAGTTAAGTTTAATATAAAAAGCAAGTGGCAGTCTTTCGAGTTCTTTTTGTTAGAATCAGCCCGTCTGGAACAATAGCAAGAGAGGGTTGTGGGTTTTAGCCTAGAAGCCTCAGACTCAGGAGCTTCCTGCCTCCTAAGACAATTCATCATTAAAGTAAAGTCATCAAAACAGTAAGTTAGAAGCTTCCCAACAACTATTCTAGTAAAGAGTCAAAAACAAATATGAAACGTTTCTGTAAAATATTAATAGTTTAAGTGCAAATCAAAACGCAAGCAACCTCCTGGTTTTTTCCCTCCAACTCTTAACACTTGCTAACATGGCTATGCAATTCTGAAAGAGTATGATATTGTCGTCTTTGTTGTCTTCAGGGAAGGCTTAGCAGTGGTGTTAATTCAGACTCTAAAATCTTTTAGTTCTAACACTCCAAGAAAGGCTGTGTTTGCTGGAAGCATGCAGTTGCTGGCTGGAGTCAAGCTGTGCACGGGAAGGACCTTAACCAACCACCCACACTATGAAGACAACAGCCTGAGAGAGCGAACGAAAGCGGTGAGGCCCCATCTGTGCCTTTTCTCACTTGGTGAACCAGCTGTGGGCCGGGTTTCCCCGTGTTTGGTAAAGATGGGGCGTCATGCTGCACCTCCAGCTCGTAGGTTGTGGGGGGAGTCAGAGCACAGTGCACAGCTGCGCCCGCTGGTTCTGAACTGCGGGCACCGCTTCCATCGAGGGCGAGCTGTGCAGGCCGCAGGTGTCTCGGGAAGAGCCGAGGAGGCATCTGCCTTGAGGCCTACAGAGGGAGGGTTTGTGTGCAAAGCCCTTAGAATTTTTGAAGTGGGGAAGGGAAGGAAAAGGAATTGAGGAGTACTGGTCACCTATTTTATGGACCATTTCTGTTGTGTAGTGTTAACTTTTTAAAATTAGATAATACAGGCCCACAGTTCGAAGTTAGGAACATACAAAAAGAAAGACAGTGAAAAGTTTCCCTCCCACCTCTGTATTCCAGCTACTGGTTCCCCTCCTAGGAGACAAATGATGTTACCAGCTTCTTACGTAGCCTTCCACAAGTATTTTATGCAGGTACAAATACAAATTTTTTTCTATATTATTTTCCCCCTTTTTACAAAAGAAGCATTCTACCCCTTGCCTTTTTGGCACTTAATATATTTTAGAGATCCTTTTGTATCAGTATCTTAACAGCTTTCTTGTTAATTTTTACAGCTGCATAATATTTTATGTGAATGTAGCATATTTAACCATTTCAGTTGTTTCCCTGTTTTTTGCATTTGTATAGACAGTGTTCCAAATAGACTTGTGTATGCATCACTCTTTACAAGTACGGTGTCTGTCTTTTTACATCAGAGTCTCAGATGTGGAACTGCTGGGTCAAAGGGTATTGGCATTTGTCATTTAGATAGATAGATGTTATCAAGGCACCTTCTGCACAGGTTATATCAGTTTACAGTGCAGGAGGGTGTCTGTTTCCCTTAGTCCTCCCCAGTAAGATTTCAGACATTTAATGATTCATGTTGGTCCCTTCTTAATGTTCATAGTTGAAAAGTTATTGAGAAAGTCTTGTTTTGAGGTGGGATTTGACTAACCTAAAAGCAAATGATCTTTACTAAATCTCCTTTTTTTAAAATAAGAATCATCTAAATTTAGATGCCTGCTAAAATGGGGATCTTTCAGTTGGCCTGAGTGTTCCAGATAGTTCCAAGTTAAGTAGAAGAATGGGGGAAGGTGTCCCTGCTCTCCAGACACAAGGTCCAGTCAGGAGGTGGCCTGTGCTGCTTGGACTGAGAGCTGCAGAGAAGACATGTCAGCGCATAGGGCGTCCTTCTGTGTCCTACCCTCTCCAAGAGCCAGTCCCCACATAGGTGCCACGTGGTATGCCCTAAAAATTGTCATCCTCAAGGCCCTACTGCTCATCTCCAGTGATGACTTTCAAACCCTTGGAATGCCTTCAGTGTGAGTCCTTGTGCTGGACTAGGACGACCCCGCAGTTCTCGCAGGAGAAGCAGCTCACCTCCCACCGTCTCGCCCGTCCATGCGGACACGTTGAATTAGGCCCTCATACCCGGGCCCTTACGCCAGAAACTGATCATTAGAAATCAAGGGACAACAGGAAACAGCACCTCTGTCTTCATGAGCCCGTAGACCCGCACAACAGCCCACAGCCTTTTCCCACTGCAAAGTCCCAGCACAGAGGACTTTGTTCATCACGGCGTGTGGCAGTGGCGGTGGATGTGAAGGGGACGCCCCTGTAGCACTGCCGCTGGGGCTGCAAGTTGCTCTTGCTCCCGGGAATGACGGGAGGGAGAGACATGTTCTGGTTTCCTGCCGATCAAGCAGCTGCAAAGCAACAGGCGCTGCCCCAGCCTAGCACCAGGACCGTGCAGGATCCTTTTCCCCACCTGCCATTGTCAGAAACTGGGTCTCCTCCTTACTAGACTCCACCATCACTTCTGAGGGACCATTTCAGTCCGAAGGTCCCTTTTTAAAGGTAGAGACCATGTCTTACTGCCTCAGCTATGTCATTTACCTTGGCGATGCCATCTTAGATTTGGCATCTACTGGTGAATATATTCGTAACTCAAAAAAATACATTCTGAACCCAGATGTATTGGGCATGATTCACTCTCCCTGTCCCAAGGCTAAGCACTTACAATATTCTGTTGGAAATTTCCACACACGCTCCAGACCTGCAGATGAGTGAGCACAGCAGTGACCTGGGCAGGAAGAGGGGGACTCAGGTGTTTGGGTCTTCGATTCAGACCCTGTGGGAGGTCACATCGTATTCCTCGATTAACTCCGTGGCAGTTGAGTGGTATTTTACCCGATTGCGTTTGTATCTCGTTCTGAAGGTTTATCAGATATATGCCAAGAGGTCTCCAGAGGAGGTCCATGCCCTCCTAAGGTCCTTCGGCACCGACTACGTGATTCTGGAAGACAGCATCTGCTACGAGCGAAGGCACCGCCGGGGCTGCCGCCTTCGGGACCTGCTCGACATCGCCAACGGACACGTGAGCATGTCCAGCCACGTGCGGGGACTCTCCCCTGGGGGCGGGATTCCAATCTGAATCCTAGGGAAAAAAAAAAAGAAAATCAAGATGTGAAACTGAAAACTAGTTAACTAGCTAAATACAGGTACAGATATAGCTATATATTAATAGATACATAGTATAAATAAATATATTTACGTGAAACATGTAGAAAAAAAGAATTAAAATTTTTTACACTTTGTGTCTAATAGAATTACATTATGAATCTAGCATTCGCTTTTCTTGCTTCCTGCAGAACCCCCTACCTCGGCACTGCCTGGGGGGCTGGGCAAGGGGAGACATAGGAGGGAAGCTCTGGGAGCCCAATTTCACATCAAACGGAGCAACCCTACCTTTGGCTGGTTTGTATGGTGGGGCTCTGCATAAAATTTATCTCTTAAGGATTTTTCTACCAAAAACAAAACCTCAGCTTTTAAAGCCACTGCTCCAAAGCTTCATATTGGCTCATCCTCAAGCGTCTGGGACCATGTGGCCCCTCTCTCCTCTCGAGCCCCAGTGGTGGGTTCTCCCTGCTCTCCCTGCCCTCCTCCCGGGTGTCCTGTGTCCACTGGGACACTGCCACAACAAAGGCTCTGTGGCTGAGCTGGCATTGCAGAGCAGAAAAGCAACAAGCCACTTCTCCTTCTCCTTGCTGAGAAAAATGTTCTTAGAGCTATGCCAAGTCTCAAGAGAGCAAACAGAAGATTTTCACCCTTTTGAGGTGTGATATGTGCTATAATTAATGGTAGAAAAGCTGATAGATATTTGTGAATGAGTGGGACAAAATGACAAACCTAGCCTAACTTAAAAAAAAAAACTTGACTATACAGAATTGGAGATTCAGATTTTTACGCAAGGAAAATAATAGTCCACGACTATCTTGAATTCAGAGGTGGTACAGACCAAAGATGTGTTTAAATTTTGCTTTGTGTGTAACTTGTTCCAACTGGGCCATCTGTTGAGTTAGAGAACTTTTTCTCTGGTCATAGTAGTCCTCTGTATTTCATTTTTGTGGGAAAGAGTATATACGCTCCTAAGAACAAGGAGGTCTGAGTTCTGCTTCCAGCTTTGCCATTAATGGTGATATTGTGTGACACCGTACTCTGTTCTCAGCCCCATTTTGTACTTCCGAAGCCGCAGAGTGTGGACCAGATGATCTCCAAGTAGCCATTGACATTGAAATACTATAATTTAATTTCACTAACATTACATTCATAAAGAAACCCAATACCTATTCCTGTTTCTGTTGTTTTTTATAAATACGATTTTCCTCCCAAATTGTATTTGGGTTTCTTTTGGTTTTAGATGATGGATGGCCCAGGAGAGAATGACCCCGATTTGAAGCCTGCGGACCACCCTCGCTTCTGCGAAGAAATCAAGAGAAACCTGCCTCCCTACGTGGCGCACTTCACCAGAGTGTTTCAGAACAAAACGTTCCACGTTTACAAGCTGTCTAGAAACAAGTAACAAAGATTTCTGTCCAGTCTCTATTTTTGATACAGCAAAACTGCATCCTGATGAAACTCAGTAGATGAGGTTTCCTATGTACATAGGTAGCCGGCACCTCAAAGCTGTGATATGAGTGAGTTCTCACCGATGTTTACACACGCATTACCGTCGTCAAAAGTATCTTCTGGGAGCTCAAGTCTTTTCTTGTCTTGTCTGTATCTTTTCCATTAATGTCCCTTAGCCTGAACGTTCACAGCTTTCTAAGAGTGGTGTAGAATTGTGTTGCTGGGGAGAATATACATTCCATAGATAGCCTGGACAGCCATATACCATGTAGGAAGATGAGCACCTGTTCAGGACTTGAAATACTTCTAATTTTCAGTTGACTTAAGACAGGTATGGTTGAGTCGAATTGAAAAGATGATTGAATTATTTAATGTTATTTCATTAGTGAAGGCCAATTGGTAGCTTTTTAAAAAGTTCTTTATTGTCCTGTTTCACCTTAATATTTTATAACGCTTTCCAATTATGCTTTTAACATTAACAAAAAAAAATCATGTTAGTTAGGTCTTTGTATCAAACATTTTGTTACACTCTGTCTGAAAGGTAATATGTAGCATGTGAGTAGTATGTGTCATGTATTAGAGAGAGAGAGAGGAGTGTGTGTGTGTGTGTGTGTGTATGTATGTGTTTTAATGCTGGGCACAGGAAGTGTAACAATTTCCATACTGTAAGTCCTTAAAGGGGCAGAAATGTATGTAGCCAAGTAGAATCTGTTACTGTTCAGTGTTGCTATTTTAAAACCTACTGATACTCTTGAACCTCTCTCTCCTGCAAGAAAATAGTTTTGCTTTATTTCTTACTCACTTCAATTTACTGGGTTAGCAAAGTTTTGTAAACTTTTTGTGTTTTTAGCCTTTGTATTTTTTGCAGCCTAGACCTTGCAAAGTCTGAATATTTTTAAAATGTTATATCTTAACTAGTTCACTAATACAGTATTTTTAGCAGACAGCATTTTCATACCAAGTTTGAATTGTGGTCTCCAATCTTACTGTGAGGGCCCTGGTAGCATTGTTCTTTTCCTTCATAAAAGGTAACCAAGTGCCTCTAAGTCATGCTTGTTTGTACCAACAAAGAGGATTATATGTACCTGCTCAAAATTTTTTGATAATTGCTTTTATAATTAATTTCCAATGATGGGTACCTGTAAAAGCTGCTGATATGAGCACTTAATTAAATGACTAATGAAATTAGCTTTCTTCCCTGTTCTTGCCAGTTGGAAATGATATAAATATTTCTCCTTGCAGTTGTATTGAAGTAAATTACATAGGCATCAAGAGGGATACATCACATTTTTAAATGATCTTACAGCCAGCTACTGCTTACCAAACAGCATTCAAAAAAAAATGTACACTGTCATGTTGGACACAAGGATACTCAGCTTTTATCAAAAGGTATTTAAATAAAAAATTGAGAATAGTTGGGTTATTAAATTATACTATTGAAACTTTCGAATTATATCTTTTCTGTATCCCTTAATAAGGTTGGAGACCACTACAGTTTAGGAGAATACAATAATAAGGCATTTTAATCAGTATTAAAACTTTAATTAACCAGTAATGATGCATGCCTCTTGCAGCTGACAGCATGGGTCAGCGCATCCTTCAGCGAGTGCCTTACTCTAATTGAAACCAAGCACATGTAAGGTACAGTTTGTTAGTCTGTGTGGTTTTGTTCTTAAAATCCTCTGTTACCTTTTCAGATGTATGTAAATGTATTTTAGATATTTCTGTATGTTTTCGTCTAAGCATTTGGGCACTTGAAGTCTCAATATACAAAACATGCACTTAAATCTTTATGCTTATCATCACCACAACGATGGCATACGGTGATTTTTTTTTTCATTATTTGGGTGCCATTGTTGCCAGAACATTTAGTGTCAGTCTTCAGTGAAAAATATAAAGTGCCAAAAAAAATCTTGCAAGACAGAATCCATACTACACTCGTTCCAAGACACTGTGACCATGTACAGTAGAAGTTCTTCCTGATGACCAAATCTCTCTCAACAAATCATGTTAAATATTTTTAGCACATGTCAGTTATTGTCTTATGTGACCTTCTCATTGAAGTACACATGAGGAAAGAGGAAAAGCATCTATCTGACTTCTGCCTCTGGTTTCTAGCCTCTCCTAATAAGCTGAAGCAAGAGAACTGTGTCCTAAGTCCCATGCCAGACAGACTTTTGTGGCTGTATTAATACTTGGTAATAGCCACGAATAATGGCTCTGTATTTTATGGATAGAAAAGCCACTTGATTTTGCTTCTGAGTTAGCAGCCAAAAGACCTCTAAGTACAGTAGAAGTGCTCTTCACTGGCCCTGCTTATGTGACTCCCTAGACCCGGAAGTCTCCGTCCCTCTTGTGACCTGCCTGCCCCAGCACAGCTGGGAGGTCTGCTCTCTGCTGTTCACAGCGCTCTTATTCCCTCCTGCCCTTGGGTTCTATGCCCACACCAGATTTCTCCGTACAAGTTCTACTTCTTATTGTAAACAGACAACTCAATTACTTACATAAACCTAGGAAATATAGGTGTCAAAAGAAAGAGTTGTTTCTGCAAAAATTAAGTTGAATGCTTTGGTAAGATTTGATAAAAGTTGAGTTGCTGATAAAGGTTGCTTTTGAATTAGATGTGGTTAGGAAAATCATAAACTATTGAGGAAAACATAAAAATCAAGAAAATTTCTGAGCTTAGATTGCTTTGCAGATTGATTTAAGAAGAACTCATTCTACCTTTAAAAATCTAAACCAATAGGAAAGTGTTAAAATGTACCCAAATCATGTTACTGATATGATTTATTCAAGAAGTGGAACTACAGTCATTGGACCATAATACAAAGGAAAGACCTTATCTTTACATCAGAAGATTAGCAAATAAACATACAATTAAACATTTTAAGTTATGATTCCCTGCTTTAACCTACTTCCTTCATTAAATGACCAACTACTGGTACTGATCACAACAGTTATGAGAGATTCTACTGTAGTTGAAAGGTTCCAGTTACTTTTATTACAGGCTTTTTAAAAAATAGGGATTGATTTCAAATAGGTGTTATGTAGGCAATTTGCTGTCCTCTTAAAGATGATTTTCTTGACCTTTGTTGAGATCGACTGTACGACTATGTGTATGTGTGTCTGTTTTGAGTGGGTGCTGCCAGGTGGCCAGGGCACATACAGATATTTCATCTGACCTGCATCTTTATTTCACAATTAACTAAAAATACAAATGTGTTTTCTGATTCTACATTAACTTTGTCTAAGATGTAAAAATTTTAGCTTATCTTTGGTCAAAATCTATCTGAATTAACATAGAAGTATTTGATTTTTAAAATTTAATTCAAATCTTGGAATCAATGGGAAGATACCAAAATGTTCTCTGATTATACATCTTGGTTAATACGCTCCCCAAATGCTTTATACATGGCAACCTTTTGGCCTCAGAGTGTTTGTTCATGGAAAAAAGCTTTTGAGATGAGAGGGTTGCTTACTTTCTTGTGGCAATTGATTTTTGGTTTTTAACATCCTATGGGTAAAATCTTACAAGGAGGTTTTATAATTTGTCGTACTGAATTGTATGGAGATTATATACTAAGTAAAGTTCTTTTAAGTCATACAAGATGAGTGTCTTACATTTCTTTGAAGGTCAAAAACCAAGGAACCTGCTTATTGAAGTGATTAAATATTTGCTAAATAGAGTAAATCAGCTGGATTTCAGCCACTCTAATAGGTGTGTAATGATATTTCATTGTAGTTTTAATTTCCATTTCCCTGAGGACAAATGATGTTGAATATCTGTTCATATGCTTTTTACATCTCTGTATCTTCTTTGGTGAAATGTCTATTTAGATCTTTTGCCTATTTTTCAATTGCGTTTTTTTCTTTCTTATTAAGTTTTAAGAGATACTTGTATATTTGGGATTCAAGTCCATTATCAGATCTGTGTTTTAATAATATTTTCTCCCATGCTATGGCTTGTCTTTTCATTAGCTCAACGGTGTCTTGCACAGAGAAGACGTTATTAATTTTAGTAAAGTCCAGCTTACCAGTTTTTTAATTCATGAGTTGTTCCTTTGGTGTTGATACTAGAATAACGCTGGCCTCAAAGAATGAACCATGAAGTGTTTCCTCTGATTCTATTTTCTGGAGGAGATTGTGGAGAATTGGTATTATTTCTTCCTTACATGTTCGGTAAAATTCACCAGTGAGGTTTTAGACCATCTGGGCATAATGCTTTTTTTTTTTCTTGTTTTGGAAGGTTACTAATTGTTGACTCCATTTCACTAGTAGATACAGGGCTACTCAAATTATGTTTCTCCTTGTGTGAGTTTTGGTGGGTTATGTCTTTCAAGGACATCCACATGCACAAAAATGTACCTAGGTATAGACCTTACACCTTTCACAACAATGAACTCAGACAAATCACAGACCTAAAGGCAAACTGTAAAACTATAAAACTTCTAGAAGACAACATAGAAGAAAATATCATTGACCTAGAATTTGGTGTTTTTTGTTACGGCACCAAATTCATGTCATTGATAAAGATGTTGCATATGGGTATTGTCTAGAGAGGCAAGAAACGGGAGATGAAAGCACCCCTCTGAGCCCTTTCTGTCAGCTGTAATTCCTTACACTGTCTCCCCACACAGTAAATGAAGACAAATCTGAAGGCGAGACAGAAATACACCCTTAGGGCTCTAGACCATTTACATACCAAAAGCACATTAGTCAAAAGCACTAGGGTATCAAATGGGTGTCACATCCAATTTGTTTAAACAGACATAATATGTAAATAATTGTAGCCAAATATGTCATTGGACAGTTTAGAACCATAACTTTTTTTTTGGTCCTGAAGTCACAAAAAGCTCAAGTTTAACTCCAGACAAACAAAACTGTCAACTGGGGAAGAAAAAAAGTCTTTGGCTTAACTCAGAAAATCTGTTCAACTTTGTCCCACGGTCAGTGATTGATAGATTAAATCTTTAGAAAGATCATAAAAGTTTTGTGTGTTTAAAGCAAGATGATTTTTGTTAATAAAGCTGAATGTTCTGACAGGGAACAGTTAGAAAAGGAGCCAGCCGAGTAGGAAGCAGACATTCAACAGACCAGTGTCTGATGTGGCTAAGAAGCCCTCCACTGATGTCTCAGCAGGAGGAGAGGACACAAAGGACACCATCGCCACCTCTGACACTGGATGACAGGCCCTGACGGTATTGCAGGGGGGGAACTGTGGAGCCACCCCGGCCTGGTCAGAGCTATCGCTCAGCAACTTCCTTGTTCGATGAGCACAGTGTCCTCACCCATGGATGGAGAAAGTCATGATGCCGGTTCTCATGAGGACATAGAATTAAAGGAAGCGATGTAGCTGGACCTTACAAAGGGCCAGCACATCACAGGTTCTCAGCAATCCCCTGCCCACCACTTCTTGTTCCACCTTTGAAAATTATTAAGAGATATTCCCAAATGCATGAGAGAAATGTACATTAAACCTGCACCAAGATATGCCTCTCTCTTATTATCACATTAGCAAATACGGAATCCCTGTGTGACAGAGGTGGCATTAGAAGATAGAACATTCCATAATAGTGTTGGGACAATCTGGACAGAAAAAGATGAAACTGGAGGGTCCTACCTTTTACCTGTTGGGTGAAATTCCTCATGGATTATAAGTGAGTGCTTAAATCGGAAAGGAAAAACTTTAAAAATGCCTGGAATAAGATATAGGACAACATATTATCTTGAGTATAGAAGGATTTCTTAAACAAGACAGAGAAAGCACTAACTATAAAAGAAAATATCGATAAATTTTACATTTGGTATGTACCTGTAGTCCCAGCTACTTGGGAAGCTGAGGCAGGAGATCATTTGAGCCCAGGAGTCCCAGGCTGTAAGCGCTATATGATCATGGCTGCAAATAACACTGCACTCCAGCCTGGGCAACATAGTCAGACCCTGTCTTTAAAAAAAAAAAGATTAAGAACTTTTGTTCACTGAAAAATACCATGCAAGTTATGTAAAATGTTAACATAGAGGAAGCTGGGTAAAGGGAATACAGGAATTTTCTAGACTGTTGCAACTCTTCCATAAGCCTTAAATTATCTCAAAATGAAAAGTTTAAAGCCAGAGTGGTGCCCCCTTATCTGTAAAGGGATAGGTTCCAAGACCCACAGTGGATACCTGAAACCACGGATAGTACTAGACCCTACATACACTATGCTTTTCCTATACAGTAGCGGGCAGGTAGCGTGTGTGTATGTATATAGACACACTGAACAAAGGGACTACTCACATCTGGGTGGAAGGGAGCAGGGCAGCGCAAGATTTCATCATGCTACTCAGAGCAGTGCATAGTTTAAAACTTAAGAATTGTTTATTTCTGGAATTTTCTAATTAATACTTTTGGACCACAGTTGACTGTGGTTAGCTGAAACTGGAAAGCAAAGCTGCAGATAAGGGGACACTACTGTATAGATTAAAATGAAAAGACAAACCACAGATAGGGGAAAATATTTGCGACACATGTAACCAGCCAAAGGACTCGTGTCCAGACTATGTGAAGAACTGCCACAGGTCAGTACGAAAAAACATGTAAATAACCCAGTAGTAAAAAGCATATGCACCCAAAACACTAAAAACGAAAATAAAAGACATGGACACTCATTTCACAGAATGGCCCGTAAATGTGAACTTGATCCTTCACCGTATTAGACATCAGTGAAATGCAACTGAAGACCACCGTGTGTATGTGATGCGCCTTAAAACACTTTGGTAAGTGTCCTCAGTGGGGCGATGAATGAGGACAAGGGGCCGGTTATACTCTTCTCTCTACTTAGGTACATTTGAGAAGGTTCATAAAGATTTAGAAAAAGAAAAAAGAAAAACCTACAGTGAGATACTGCTTTCCACTCAATTGATCGGCCCAAATCAGGAAGGCTGACATGTTTTGGTAAGCATGTGGACTGGTGGGAACTGCCCACTGCTGGTCAGAGTGGGAACTGCCAGAATCCCTCTAGAAAAGAGCGTGGCAATTTTGCAATGCTTAAGCACATGCATATTCTTTGACCAGCAATTCCCCACAATCGTGTACATAGAGGAAATACTGCACAAGTGCCCCAAGAGACGTGTGGAAGATTATTCATAAGAAATATGATTCATAATAGAAAAAAATTAGAAGGCAGTAACCCAAATGTCCATCATTAGGAAAACGGCTAGATAGAGCTATAGTCACAGAATGGACTTCTCACTGCGGCAATGAAAATGGGTGAACGACAGCTCCATGCACCAATACAGATGAATCTTAGAAACACAGTACCGAGTGATAAAAGCAGGTCACAGCCACATACAGGTTGACGTAATTGTTATAAAATTCAATACGGGAGGCTAAACGATATATTATTTAGGAATAGATATCCATGTAATAAACTTTTATTTTTCAACAAGGGAAAGAAAAGCTTTGGGATAGTGGTTACCCCTGGAAAGAAGACAGGTTATGTGCGTAACACCCCAAGGACAGGCAACTGAAGAGATAATTGCTAGAGAGAAATTCCCATTTCATTATGTATATGCTCGTTATTATGTATGTTATGTATATGTTTATGATAGCACTAAATTATATTCTAATAGATTACTTACATAAGCAGTGGTACATGTATGCGGCAGGTGTCATGCATCCATCAAGAATCTTGTTCTCACTGGGCATGGTGGTTCACACGCTGTAATCCCAGCACTTGGGGAGGCCAAGGCAGGAAGATCATTTGAGGCCAGGAGTTCAAGACCAGCCTGGGCACCATAATGAGACCCAGTCTGCAAAAAAAATTTAAAAATTAGCCAAGTGCAGTGGTGCACTTATAGTGCTAGCCACTCAGGAGGCTGAGGTGGGAGTTGGAGGTTGCATTGACCTATGATTATGCCACTGCACTCTAGCCTGGGTGGCAAAGTGAGACTCTGTCTCTAAAAAAAAAAAATCTTCTCAAAGACTACCTTAGGATCTTGGAAAATATATCATTTAATGGAAGAAGTTTCAGAACTGCACAGAGAGACTAGATGATGGTGTACCCAGCCCCCTCTGACTGTAAATGCCTAAAAATGGCAGGTGTACCTACACATATACATGTCTATATTTTTACATCTGTGAACAGTGCTGAAAAAGGTACCTTCAATGAACCAGTGATTAGGAGGAATCCCTGAAATTCACAAGGCAAGATGGGCCTGATTTGCAGGACTTGCCAGCCTAAAACATGCCCAGGAGAGGACTTCCGTGGAACACAGGAGCAGCTGAGGTGCTGAGGCAGGAGGGGTGGCCCTGGGGTGTCCAGCCAGATGCTGGCCAGCGCTGCAGCCATGGCCACAGACGAGTCCACTCACTCTGCGCCATAGGCCGTGCCAAGCAGGGAGCAGCAAAAGGATGCTTCTGGGAATCCATGAAGCAAGAATGGGATGTATGAAAACGAACACATAAAAGTCTTGGAAATGAGTGGATGGGCCAAGGAACAAGATGAGGAGCAAGTGAGGAGCAGCATGGTGGATCTGGATATGTGCAGACCAGGAAGCCTGAAGGCTGGGAGGTCTGAGGCACCGGAGTTCTCAACAGCTGAGATCCACAAGGAGGGGAAAGAAATG